ACACGAAAGACGCTAGCTACACAGTAGAAAAATTTGTGTTTTCTTGTTAAAAACGGTCTCCGTAAAAATTTTGTTAAATACTTAACACATGAATGTATTAATTTAACATATTGTTGTTGTGTTATTTGAACTTAAATATTAAATTTTTAAACAACTGAAAAAAGATGTAAAAATAACACAAAATGTGAATCTATTTTTAATTTTACACAATAAATATGTTCTGCTTGATTAATGACAAGATTTATCTGTTAAAGTTTAAAAAAAGTGTCAATTTTCTATTTTATAATATATTTTATATTTTATAATATAAGTGGAGATGATAAAATTTCTGTGGACCGTTCGGAACATGTGAAATCTGTTAAATTTAACACAAATTTTTCAACTGTGTATATTTAATTCAAATTAGTCGAATAAACTTTGCAAAGTAAGTTAAACTGATTGTGAGATCTATTTGGCGAAACGAAATTTAACTTGTGAAACTGCATTTAACTTCGTATAAGTATATGTATTACCTCGGTAGATTTTATACGTCGCAGACGAGAGAAACTCGGACGAGAGATTCGTCGAAAAAGCTCGAGTCAAAAATTCCACGAAGAAGCGAACGAGATAAGAGCAAACGCGAGCGATGTGTTTACGTTTTCTTTTTTTCCAAGCTCCATTGAAACTGAAGAAGTACGTAAAATGGTCCAAATGGATTCGATAAATGTATATAAAATGTATGTATATATATGAATATAAAGAATATATCGTTGTTGCGTGCAATTCATTAATTACACATTATTCTTTCTGCGATTGTTTAATTCATTTCCGGATAATTTTCGAGAATTTATGCGCGAGTGCTTTCGAAGAGTTCCGTTATTCTCCGACAATTATGCGGAATAGAATATAAATGAAATGCGATTTAATGAGGGAGGAGGAGGAAAGGTACGAGAAATTCCTTCGTCGATTGTATCTTATCATCTTAGCTCATAATCCTCAATTGATTTTATTTAGTCAGAAAATTAAATAGATTCATTGACATCATCTAATAACATTTGCCACACAAGATATGTTTTTAGATTCGTCATCGTTGATTTTTAGCAATATTCACACAGCTTTCAATTGAAGCGAGTACGATTAAATTCAATTTTTGCGAGCTCTTACTCTGCCCAAAATGCGCGCATTTGTTGAAAAAAGTTAGTTCATAAACTTAAAACTAAACTGAAAATTAAACAAGAAAACTAAAAAAATTACATAAAGAATATATATTTAATAAATATAAATACGAAATAAATATTTATATATTAATTACAATAAAATAATAAATATAATAAAATTAAATATTTCTGTAATATAATATAAATAGTAAATATATATACTTGTCTTTTACGATGTGCGTCGCTTTTACCGAATCAATTCTGTTAACAGATATAAATAGATTGGGAAAAACTTTCAAAAATTGAACTCAACTTCAAATAAATAATAATCATCTCTTTTTTGTTTCATCTTCAATCACAAAAATCTATTATTTGTCAATATGGCGGATATACATATATATATATATATATATATATTATTGTCTCTATCTATTTTCACCGAAATGGTTTGCAGTTTCAAAAAGATTTACTTACATCCTTCGTTTGCAATTGCGACAAAGCAACGAATTCATTCTCACCCGAAATCATGGAAATTGATTTTAATCGTACACGAAGAATTGAATCGCAATGAAAACAGCATGAAAAAAATGACCACGACTAAACAAGCCGGTAAGATTTGAGGCATCGGTCACGAGTCGTTGCACTTTTCCATGGCCAACAGGTGGTGGCTGCTCGGCTCCGCGAGCGAGGAAACGCGGCCAAAAGGGATTCGATAAACACAACGCGTACATGTACGCAACATATAATACACGTACACCCGCGCAGGCTAAAGATCGCATAGAAAATGTGGCGAGCACGTACCTTGAAAATTTGGAGAAAATCTCGGCGCGCGATGAATATCCTTCGACGCTGCGTGTGCCCTGAAGTTAGCCGCGAAGATCCGTCTCTCACCTTCCTTCTCTCCCTCTCGCGAGTGGCGTTACTCCAAACAAGAACTTCTTCCTTCGGGCAGAATTTGAGGCACAGAACCGTTTCACACGATACGTATGGTACGTAAACTGCGAAGCACACGATGATACAGGCACACGCGAACTTGTCGCGTCGCGACGCGCGACTGTTGCGGACGTTCCGCGTGCGTGAGAAACAAGACGCGGCGTTTCGCGACGGCGCGATACGACGAGGAGCGAAACGCGCGATGACGAAACAGCAGCGACGCGACGCGACCGAACGAAAGCGGGACCGAGCGAGAGAGAGCGACACGCCGCGCGGCGCACTCGGCGGTCGCTGAGCGAGTAATGACGACGGCGCACGAACGCAGCCGATGTTCCCGTCCCACCCCCACCCCACCGCCGCCCCATCCCCACTCCTCCGAGTCGCGCAGCGCGCTGGTGGTGGGAGGCTGACGTCACAGTCTCCTTCCCGCGACCTCGGCCGATAAAGAAGAACGTTCTCGAAGATTGCGCATAATTATTATAAATATATTATTGTTAATAATCCTTATGATGTGTTGTTTTTCTTTCTCTTATATATCTGTAAAAATAAACAAATATATACACAAAATATTAAGAAAAATTATTAGCTTGATGTTCATAAATTATTGTCGCGAACGTTTATTATTAATTTCAATTTTTAAGAAATTTTCATATATGTATATATAGTTTATTTATATATATGAATATATATATACGCGTTTGAACATTGACAGATATATGTATCTGAAAATTTCAACATTTTTTATAAAAACTATGATTTCTTTTCTATATCTAATTTTTTTGTTAAAATCACTTTTTCTTCAAATTGATAATTTACAAAGATCAACATTATTCTCTGTGATAAAGAAAATATCTGTCAACGATATATGTACATGAATAAATCATTGTGTTCAAACGTAATCATATACAAAAGTGAGCTAAGAATGACAATTTTTTTAAGATCCAATTTTCACATCTCAAAACACTCAAAATTATATGTGAATTTGTTAAACAAATTCTTTCTGTGTCTTCAACAACAAATATACATGTTTAACAAATTAATAATTTAAATGAATTGATTTAACAAATAAATTGATATGTTTTTAAATACACTTTCGAGAAGTCATTAAGTCTTTGAAGATTAAAACGCACATTCTTTTTTTAAATATGTATTTTTTTCACATGCAAGCTTTTTTTCTACTTCTTTCTATATGGAATTTTGTAACTCTTTAAACATACAACTTTGGTTAATTTTTGACAGTTGCTGAAGTTGAGCCAAAAAGGGGGAACGGATCATACTTTAAAAATAATAAATGATAATTTCTTTTGTCTAGCTTGTTTTCTGATTCTTATTATATCATTACTGTATCATATATCAAAACTTTATCTATTTATTTTTATATTCAAACATGAACTTGTATGTCTTTGCTAGTGTATAAATATTTTAATTAAAGTCAGTTAGAATCATATGTACATATATTATATGGAAATGTCTTTTTCTAATTCTCTCTGTCTCTACAAAAAAAATATAAATTTTCAAAGTTTAAAGCTTAATTATATAGTTAAAGGTTAATTTATAATACATAGATTTAGATTTATGTTTCGAAAAACCTTTCTCGATGATCTATTATTCGCAACAAAATTTAAGATAGTTATCATTTATAAATTTTATATTATGTATATATAAAAATATTTAAACACAAAAATCAAATTAGATATACATTAAAACATAAAATTATAAGTAAACCTTTTATTTGAAAAGTGGTGTAAGTCCAAAAAAAACCGATTTTATGATTGCTTATTAATATTTTTGAACAAATTGAAATGCAAATTCTTGTCAAAACAAAAAGTGAACTTACACAACTTTCAAAATAAACGATTTAAATTCAGAATTCTTGAATTTTGTTGCGATTATAAATCGTTTAAAGAGCCTTAAGAGGAAATAATTTTGAAAATAAGAAAATAGATTTTCCTTTCCCTTCACACATATTACGGATTAAAGTATTAAAATGTGTTTACATTTGGTTCGTATCTCTCTTTAATGATATGCGGTGTATGCATACGCTTCTTATGCATATACACAAGAAGAAAGAGGATAAAGCAATTATTTAAATCTATTGTACAAAACATTGGTGGGATACAATTCGTACCACAGAGTGACACACATAAGTTTTTGGTCGATATGAAATGTTACAGGACATGTTCTTGAAATATCGCTTAGCTCATACGAATTCTTTTTTTTATAATAAAAAATATACATATATATATGATTACAACGTCGACATGTAAAATATAATTGCGGTAACACTTGAGCGATTTAAAGAATACCATATAAATCATACAAGCCAATTATCTTTGAAAGATTTTTAAAAACATATCAATTTCTTCTAAGTTTAATGAACATATATTTAACATAAAATATATGAGAGATTGTAGCAACTATTGTAACAACTACATTATTGTTGTTATTGCCCTGAATCTCAAACATTTTATGCATTTCACATTCTGCGTAATGTGAATGTTGCTATATATAAATTTAATCTGAACTATTAACATATAGCTATAATAATCGTAGTTCCCCAGACATATTTTTTCAAGGACACGATTGTATAACTCCACCTGATTCCAACTGATTTAATATAACTATTTCTTTTAAATTACAATTCATTATCATCAATTATAAAAATAAAATTGCGCTATCTGCACATATAGGGGCGCATACGTATATGTATACATGTATATACATATACATTTATAACATGCACAATATACAATTTAAAATGATTAGAGATTAACTATATAAAACATATTTTCTCATATCCCGCTCTTTCCTTAATTATGTCCTTGTTATCGGATATACAAGTGCGATATATTGCAAAGTGTCAAATAATTAAAATTCAGTTATAGATATGTCGTAATATTAAGAATTAAAATGTAACCTGTTTTTTTAATGGCAATATATGTATATTCAAGATCACTCTTATTTCAACATTTTTTATAAAATCGTAACCAAGGGAAAGGGGGCATGCAATAATTTCTATAGTCATTATATCAGACTAGCTTTTGATAAAAGATAAAGGATCTATATAACATGTATTATAAAAACCGATATTGTTTTAACCCTGTTAATGCAGTAAGTGACTATTTCTGTAATACATTTTATAAACACCTCTAATCACACCTTCATAAAACGAACAATATGATAAAAAATACTATTATCATTTCACCTAAAACTAAAAATAGAATATCTTAAAATAAGCAATACTACGAATTTAGTTATTCGTTGTGCGATTGCGATTGTACGAAAATTCCGAAAACTAAAAATCTTTTAATTCTTCAGCGTTCGAACTGAATAATTTAAAGTTCATTCCGAAAATTCGAATTGTTTAAGCACTTAAAAATTCAGAACACTAATAAAAATACCTTGCACACATACACTATATAATTTTAAACTAAACATGTCGAAATATAATTGTATCAAAGTATAAGAATCTTCACGATTTTTTGAATACTTAATTTATCTAATTGAAAAATTCTTTCGAAAAGATTTTTTCCTCAATGCAGCGTCACAATTGACGCAAGAGTGTCACTTCTGCTCATCACTCCGCTGTTCTCATTCTCACTTTCCTTATCTACATTATATTTTTGGTCCATTTTATATTGCTATACAACGTGTTTCGACATTCGATTGCCTCTTTTGACCGCATAGCCAATTTTTAAAGCAAATCGCCGTTAGTTAAACGATAAAACGACACACTTTGCAAAAACAGTAAACTCTGTCTTTTTGGTAAGTACTGCGTTTGATATTGCAATCTTTCGATTGAAAGGAATACATATCTTCACACAGTACTGTGTTCTAATATGCTAATCCTAATGCTTAAAATAGAATAGGTCTCACATGACCCACTTTCATCTATAATCATAGTAAAAAGTTCATTATATAACTACTTAAAGTATTTAACATCCGTGTGTAATCTATTTATATATAAAATACAAATAAAATATATTCGTACTTTACGCTAACTCGTCCGAGCACAACTTTCTTTCTTCCTCTACTCGTTGCCGAGTGCGATTGAAAGCCTCGGTTTTCAGGAAATCCACAGTTTTGTACACTGTCGTATTCGGTGGCGACTGTGCGGGTGGTAATGTCGAAGAACTGAAGCTCTCCGTCGCCTCCAAGTCGAGATCCAGATATTGCAGCACCACCAAGCGACGATTAGACGCCGGAATAAATGTGTTGTGATCTTGGTAATAATATATCTAGAAATCGAATATATAATAAAATATATGATTTATAATATAATATATAATACATAATATAAAATGTTATATAATACATAATGAAATGAAATCACGTATCAGGCCGCACAAATCAGATACAACGATTAAGATAACGCATAGTTCTCAGAAGTGTGAAGTGTTTTACGAACCTCCTCTTTATCTTCGAATGCGTTATTGTCTTCATCCGACGTAGACTGATGACGTGTCGTATGTATATGCGATGGAGGTGTCGGACTAGGTGCCGCTCGCATTCTTCCTCTGCCAGGAGGAGATGCTAATTGCAAATGAGGTGCTAAGAAAAGAAAAAGCTTAGAGATATTTTCCTTACATTAACGTAAAAAGAGAGGCAGACAGAAAGAGTACGAAGAAATCTACCTTCCACCGGCGATTTATTCAAAGATGGTTTCAGTTTTCTATTGATACTTGGCGGTTCGGCCGGGGAATGTTCGGCGGAGCTGACATCCGGTACTATCGGTCCCGGTGATGGCTCGTTGCTTACAATAGACATCGAATCGCTGGTTTTTCTCCCAGGTTTTAATTCTCTGTACACCATTGGCGGGGGCGGTGCCATGGCGGTCGGTAAACCGGCGCTTGAACCATCTCGCACGAGAGGACTCGGTAAATTCGAGTACGTTGCCGTGGTAGAGCTCTCGGAGCGCGGACTCGGTGGCTCGTCCTCGTGAAAATCGTAGCGAAATACGTTGGGCGTGGTCGTCTCGTCGTTGACAGTACTCGGCGCGGCGTTCGAATAAAAATGTTTCGACGATTGATCGACCGCCACACTACTCTCGGTCGTCGTTTGCGGTTGATGAGATCTCGGAAAATCATAGGACTCGTCAGTCACGACGCCTACCGCTGTCGTTGTCGTAGCAGCAGACGTTGACGCTGGCGTCGCCGGAGTAGTCGGTTTCGAGCTCTCGGTAGCACCGTCAAGATTCAGATAATTATGACCTGGATTCTCGGGTAACATGTGAGGCGGTTTTGGCGGCCTAGGCGGAACTGGTAACTTCTCTGCAGCTGGTGGTACCGCGGAATCGACGATGCTGAGCTTGCCGAAGCGTTTTCTGACGCTCCACGAACCGATCTCGTGTTGCCGAGAGTCACCTGTTATATTAGACATTTCGTTAACAAAGAAATAAAAATTGAATTACTACGCATTAATTGTTAGACATGTACCAGTTGAGGGAAGCGTGTCCCAGTTTGCGCCGGGCACAGGTGTTGTCCATTCGTCGTCGGTGAAGACACTCTCTGCATCCGTCGTCGTGGGTGATCGAGGCGGCGAAGGGGCTAATCTTCTCGGAGCATCATAATGCTCGGGTCCCTGTCCAAGCGTTGAATTCAGAGAGCTGGTATCGTTAAGCCGACGACCGGAAATGCACTCGCTAATAGGAATGTACGGACCAGAGATTGTGCTAGTGGGCGAAGTTGGCGGGGATTCTTGAGACTCATATGGAAATACTAAAAAAATCATTTACGTGTTAATACTAAAACGTATATAAAGAGGCTAACGCGAGATATGAGTGATTAATGGTCGTTACTTTGTTGTTCTTCATCCTGAGTGTAAGCTTTCAAACCACAAACTTGGCATATCGCATCCACCCATTTGTTCATATCTGCTTCGTTCTCGGCTACCAAATAATAAGTCCGCTTAGGTGTCTTAACATTAAACATGTACTGATACTTTTGTTTACGATTTTCGAATCGAAGACCAGCATCCACCTGTAACAGATTATTCATAAGCATTCATAGTTGGCGAGAATAAAACATGCAAAGACATGTCACACGATCGATACCTGTTCACATTGGTCCAGATCAATTCGACCCTTGAGTTTACGACAGCGTCTGTCTGTATAATATTCCAGAAAATATTGTCCAGGCAATTCACCACTGTGACGAAGAGCAAACCATCGTTTCCTCCAACGCTATTAGAAAAACATAATGCTTCGATCAATCTGGTGTCTACTTTTTCATATCGATACAAATTACATCATCTTACGATACCCTTATTGATTCTAAACTCGAATAAACATTGGAACAAACAAAATATCACGCTTAATAAAAGCATCTTTTGAAAACGTGTCAACAAAATTAGAAGAGTATATAATAAAATCATGCATAAACTTCTGAAATTAGGTTAGGTCAAGGTATGTTTCATGAAAGTCAACCGAAACTACAGCTGTCAAACTGAAAACCTTGAGAAAAGAGGCGGAAGACGAAACGAACTACTCGGGAACTTTCGAGTCGACATTTCTCAAAAGCTAGGAGAGTCAGGGTAGCGACTTGACAATCCACGACGAACGTAAACAATGGCCAGGTGTTTGAAGAGAGCTGGCACGCGGATAAAAAAGCGCTGAAGCGATGCATCGTATGTACTAACCGCTCTCCAGAGTTTCGTGGGCGGCGATTTGATGAGCCAGCCTTCGTGGACGATTTCCTGGGACGTCTTGAGCACCTCCATCTCTCCTTCCCTCTCCGGAGACGGTCGGAGCGATATCGCTGATATCTACGCTGCTCTCGGCGGGACGAGAGCACGCGGGGAATCACCACTGCCGACGACGACGACGTCCATTCGTCTATTTTTGGCCTCGACACGAAGTAGGCTCGAGAAGCTGCGACGGTTGCCCTCACACATACACGCACACACTGTTCCTCTCCTTTCCACCAGTTCGGTCTCTTCCCTCCCACTCTCTCACGCGCGCGCGCGCGCTGTCTCTCTCTCTCGCGCGCGCGCGCTCTCTGTCTCTTCTCTTTCTCTCTCGCGTTACGCGCTCCGGTTATCAATCGCCAATAGTGCGAGCGAGACGGGACGACAGCAGGCTCCGCAACGGGACACAAAGGGAGATGCGGGCATCGTTTTTCCTCGTTTACGCCCCACCACGTCGCAGCCACGCGCGAGTGACACAACGTGTCCTCTCCGGGGCCCTTCGCCGATGACAGCGCGCTGACGTACGTGCATGTCCGAATCTTTAATTAGGCGTGCCTCGCTCTGTCCTTTCTTAATATTTCCCTTTAATTTCGATTGTCAAAATATAGAAGTAATGAAAAAAAAAAAAAAAAAAAAAAATGAAATGAAAAGGAGCGAGATATATACGTACGGGAGATTAATGCAGCAAATTGCGATATACAGTGCGTGTATGCATATATACATCGTGCCATCGTATCTGCATCCGGTCGATTCCTTTTCTCCGCTCGTCGCCATCGTCTGAACGCAGGCACGAGTCGCGCGATTAGCCGCGTCACGCGTTCGAGATGAATCGAGTATTCGAGAAATTTCCAATGGCGCGGCTAATTTCATATTTATATTTAACAATGCGCGCGACACGGTTTTTTTTTTTTCACGCATAAATGTGTATATCATCCACGCATATTAAAATGAATTTCTCTTTCTTCTTCCCGCGATATTTATTTTATAAAAACATATATAACATTTTGTTCGAAACGATATAAATTTTTATACATAAAATTGTCGGGCTTATCTCCTAAGCGAAGCGTTCGTGAAAAAGATAAGTAATGCGAGAGCTTTATTTATTATATGCTTCATATCTGGATATAAAATACGCAGGATTATTATGCGGCATTATTATTTTCGGTCTTATTAAATCCTTTTCTCGCACGTCAAAGAGAAAACGCGGACATTCGCAATATATATATATATATATATATATATATATATATATATATATATATATATATATTTATTCTCGGAAGGGCAAAGCCGTGCGCGTAATACACGGCGAATTGCGCTTAATTTGCAATTCAATTTCGGTCGACGCCAGAGACCAAAAGTCGATCGATATTCAAATTCAGTCCTCGTTTATCGCGAATAAGCGCTCAAATCTGGCATTCCAAGCGAGCGTCAACTCTAAAAGTGTACAGAAAAATAGCGTTTCCTCTTGCACAAATAATAACTTTTTCTAATCGACATTTTGTATCGATATATCGATTAGTCATTTTTTGATTCAAATATCGATTACAATAAGTACGATCCGCGCGCGTTATTAAAAATTATCGGTAGAAAGATGAAAAAAAGAAGAATGTGAAGATTCGTATCTAATATATAATTGTTTAAAGGTATGTCCTTATATGTGCAGAGGGTACAGAGATACAAAAAAATCCTTTTATTTTTTATTTCATAATCCTTTTCTATTCCATACATTTTATATACATAAAAAAAGAGAATATATATATATATAATATATATAAAAAATACACAAAAAGAAAAACGTAAAGAAGGAAAGGAAAAAACATGGAGGCCTAATAATAAATATATACACATGCAAAGCAAATTAATCTGTAAGAGGTTCTAAGTATCTTAGCCATTATTTAATTAATAATGTCGTTTAATTCGTGAGAGGATAAAATATATGCGTGTGGCCTATATCGATCTCTTTTCGTGGGAGAAAAAACGAGTGACGACGATAACGAAAAAGCCAGGGATAATCTGTTGATATTTATTAAATATTTTTATATTCTCCCTTCGCGATTCCTCCTTCTTTTTTTTTAATTTATTATATATTGACGTCGCGATAGATTCCCGAAAAAGGAAACCACTTCATTGTCTCGCAGAGATGAGAAACGTAGAAATTATTATTGCGTATATATAAGCTGTAGCCAGTGTGTTGATTAATACAAATCGCTCCGATTTATTAATTTACTTGCCGCTTTCGGGGGATTAATCCGCGCCGCATTTGCGTGTACAATTCCTATATATTATACCAAAAACGCCCTTCCTTCTAAAAAGAGCCCCTCTTCGTTTCATCATTTATCGCTATAACTGAGAAACCGTACTACAAATTCTAATTCTATCGTACATATTTATACATTGAGCGCATCGTCAGAGAGGTATCGCCGTGATGCTCTTCACGATCGTAGGGTGTATGTGTGTGTGACAATATATCGTTACATGTGTCGTTTACATATGTAATATGGGTGCACATGTTCGAGGAACTCTGAACTTCCTCCCTTTCTTTGGCGCCATTCGTCATCAAACCGCGTAAGAATTCGTGTGTGTGTTGTGTGTGTATGTATGTGTAGATGTAGATATATGTATGGAAAAATAATTAAAATAAAGAACAAAGGAAATCTCGAGCATTTCGGACTTTGATCGTTCTCGGAGAGAACGCGTATCCTTTCTAATATCGATTCTTTTTTTTATACACTCCTCCTTTAAATCTATAGATAGATGTATTTTTGTAATCACACACATATACGCAGGAGAGAGATTGTTATATTATATGTATATTATATGTATAATTAAATCCAATAATTCTTTATTCAATATTTATTAATTACTAGATCTCTATGTGTGGTGAAAGGGATTAATTGTTATTTGGAAATCCACATTTTACAAAGTGTGTTTTCTCTCTCTCTCTCTCTCACACACACACACAACATACAGACACAAAATCTCTCAATTTCTCACTTTCTTTCTACAGTAAAAATGTCAATCTCGTGAAAAAGGTGTCTGAAAACGCACAGGTACACACGCAGTGTTTCTCGAATAATGATACATAAATTTTATTTCGTCAGATTCTTTCACGTTGCGTTAATGGTAATGCATTTATGTATAAATATATACACATATATGTATAACCCTTACGTCACGGTATATATTTTCCTCACTCTCTCTTACGTCATATTATAATAAGTTACACGCCGGGGTTCGAGAGAGCGCGCGTCTTATAAATCTTTACGAACTATATGAAGAGTCGAGGGAAGAAAAGCGAGGCTCGCGCACGAAAAAAAAAATGGACAAAAAAAAACGAACTAGCGAGATATTATTATTAATTTATTACTCCCCGCGAACTTTAGTCCCGTTTTTGCTTCGTATTCTCGCGACAAATGGAACTTTCGTATGCATACGAGGCAGTGGAAAGCTTTTCGAGAAAGTGCCCGCGAGGCGGAAAAGTTCGAGGAACCTTGACTAACGATAAATCGAGGGTGCAATTAAAGAATAAGAAGCACGAGCGGGACCAAAGTGCGCGCAAGAGTATCGGAAAAAAGCTGTACAATTTACGGAAATCGAGTGGAAATTTGTATAGTCTCTTTGTTACAGACATCTCTTTACGCCTCTACCTTTTCATTTAATTAAAGTAAATCACAAGATAATATATCTGTCAATATGACCATTTTTTTACTACTAAATAGTCATTTTTTCCCCAATATTCTTACTAATTGCATATATGTTTTTCTGACAATAACACTCCATAGAAATGATATCCATATATACATATATAAACATATAATTATACATAAAATATATCGACATGTGTTCTCTATCTCTTATATCTTTGTTCCTATGTACAGGAAAAATGATAATTAAAAAATAATTTTAGAAGAATCATTTTTGCACGATCCCTTAAAAATAAATGAGTAAAATTTGGAAAAAAAGTTTTTTTTATATATAACCATTAATAATCTTATATAGATGTATAAAATTATATGTATATATGCATTTATATATAGACTTGCATAATCTAGCTAACTTTTTTACAAAAAAAATTATTTTTCTAATTATTTTCCTATTATTTTTCTTATTATTTTTCTCGCATAAACGGGCTCATAATAAAGTGGATAAGAGAAAGAGATCATATATATATGGATATATTTTATATATAATTATGCATGATTATATATTTTGTAGCTTTCTTTCGTGAGACACTATTAAAAAATCACATTTATCATGATTTTCGTAGGTTCGAATATTTTTAATTTAATTACTGCGAGATAGAAGGAGGAATAAAATATTCCACCAAAACTATAATTAACATATTGTAATCTTGATAATGATATTGTGCAATATAAATCGTCTTTGTATTTGTATCGAACAGAGTATAATATAGAAAAACCTTAGTTGAATGTAAATATAAAAGAAAAAAGAAAATTGCATAATCGTATTGTATAGATTTCAATGTAAAGTTTTAACGAATGTAGGTCAAAAAAGGGGCGAATGCTATTAAAAAAAAAAAAAAAAGGAATACTCTCTTTCCCTCTCCCACATTTTGCGCATTCAATATAATCTAGCCGGCAAAAAAATAAAAAATGGAATGTATTTTGGAAACTCTTTCTTTTAATAATCATGTAACAATACTCATTATATTCACGATTAACATACATTACTTATCTACGTTGCAAATATTACATAAAAAAGATATCCGCGTTTTGCGTTTTTTTTTCTAAAATTATAAAAACGACGAATAGCAAAAGTTTCGGAATCTGACAGACGGTGAACGTCATCGTGCGACGACGTTTCATTATTATTTTTAACGCTAAAACGATAGGTAAAAAAAAAAAGAGGACGACGATGATATACATATATATATACATAAATGTAACTAAAGTTTGTCCTAAGTCACTCTGCGGTTCTTTTTCTCGTCGGGAGGTAAGGATGTATATTTTGTTTTATCAATCATATAACACGATCTCGAGTCATTCAGTCGCGAAAACGGGCGAAGTTTCGTCGAGTAAAAGGAAGAAACGCACGCGTCATCATGTCATTGTGCAACTCTTATCACGAATGCACTATCAGAGAGGACGAGAATGCAACACGACACGAGGAAGAAAAAAAAGAGACAGAGAGAAAGAGAGTCCCCTCTCTTTCATTCAGGGTATTTTTCTCGATGGGCGGAAGGAGCGGAGGAGAAACGTTACATTATGCATCTCATTAATCTTTAATTAGATAATTAATTCACTATTTACGAAAAGTCATAATAAAAAGTAGTACTCTATATATATATATATATATATATATATATATATATATATTCGATATTTTATATAATAATAATATTGTAATAATAATTATTATACTCCAATAGGTTTGTCTGCAGTTTTATCGTCTATTTAGATCGGATAATTAATTAATTCATAATGTTATCATCGACGTGCGTATACAGACCGCGGCCCACACTCATCTCTCGAATACGTTTCATAAATATAAAAAAGAAAAAAAATCGTAATACATAATATGCTTATGTATATATATATATATATATTATGTGTATATATATATATACACACATTCACTCTCACTTACAAGTGTAATAAATCTCACAAATGCTCCACGCATCAACGCGTTGCCTTCTTTTTTCCTCTTTATTTTTCATATCAAGGTATTTAACAACTGTACCAAAAAAGAAAATCGCAAATTAATTACATTATTAGATAGTGATAACTATATGGAAAAAGTAAGAATGGTCAACAATTTATCGGCTACGAACGTCATTTCCGATCAATTCAAGAAAGAGGATTTTCTTTTTTTTTTTTCAATTTCAACTATATTTAATTTTCGAACAATCAATCAGGCACGGCACGTTGATACGCACAGCATTCCAACATTCATTCTCTCTTTCTCTCTCTTAAAAGTTCTACACGAAGGTACACGCCATTTTCAGATTTACAACATTGCCCTAAAAACACAGCCATACTAAGCCAAATACTTTTTGGGTTTTGTCGTTTACACGATTACTTCACATACGTTTCTTTTACTATATATGTATATAGTAAAATCATTTGTTTAAATCTACACTCGATTATCCGTTTCTTTCGCTAGCAAACCTCGCTAATTTCTCGCTATTGTTCGATAAAAAAAAAAAAAGGAAAGGAAAAGAGAAAAGCAGCGTACATCCAATGCGCTCACGATTTCGTCCGAACCTTGGAGAAAATTTTAGCAGCTCGAAAAAAACAATTAACGAGTCCAATTCATAAAGAAAAAAAGGAGCAAAATTTGTGAAACCCGTTCTTTTTTTTTTTTTTTTTTACAGAAGCAAAACGTCATAAAATATGATAAACACGCGCTTTTCTCTCTCACTCTCTCTTTCTCTCTCTCTCTCTCTCTACGAAATGTAGTCTAAAAAGGAATGTGTCCCGAGTTTTTGTTTCATCAAGGTTTCTAGAAACGAAAAGCAAGAATCGTATCGCAATGTGCGTAGCAATCTGCGAGATATCAACGAATGCGGCAAGACGGATGGACGACATTGACATCAGGCATTCAGTGAATTTTAGGGGATTCGATTGCATGTGTAACGATACGTGAAAAAATTTAATACACCCAATCAAGGTCGATCGCTGACCTTAATCAAGTTTCACCGGAGCTTGATCGTATTTTCTCTTTTTTTCATTTTCATCTCGTTTAGCCATGCTAATTAATAAATTGAAAGAGAAACACGATCAAAGAGCTGCTGAGAGGTCAAACGAGAATTCGTAGCGCATCGGTGTACAATTTCGAATGTATATGTATGTAAAAATGTGTGTGTGTGTGTGTGTGTGTAGGTGTTTTTCGGCAGAGCTTAGATGATCGATGACATTTCTTTTACATATAATTAGCAATTAGTACGCAATATTGTTTTGAAAAACGCAATCGCTATATAAATTTGGTTTCCTTACGTTTCGGTTTCACTTTATGCCGATGTATATGTTTATATGTGTGTACGTGTTATTAATCTTTCCTTGCTTCCGATTACGTTCTTTTTCTTTTAATCATCACTTGGCTTAATTTTACACGATAGCTACATTATACAAATGATGTACTTCAAAAATATCCGACGGCACGGATCCTTTGAACCACAATATGTTCACGCATTCCCGTTTATTAAGTCATTTTAAATAGGTGTGGCAAAGAAAAAGATGAAAAGGGGAATAGGGTGCGGGTATTTTTTGGAGAGAGGAGGAACTTACACTTAGAACTCTTTGCTATGATACAACACTGGCATAGTCATGTAATGTGATTCGGTGTGTTTTGTACGCGGGTCATTTTGCCAAACCCGTGTGTAGTAAAACGCGTGTGTGTGAATTCCTCTCTCGTTCTATGCAAATATTACAATATATCTATATATGTATGTACGAATTGATCATAGTAATAGACTAATATTAATAATATTAATATTAATAATAATAATAATAATATAATAATAATATAATAATAATATATAATAATATATAATAATAATAATATAATAATAATAATAATAATAATAATAATAAATCGATATTCCGGCAGGTAAATTAATAAGGACGTTATCGTTATATAATAATAACCTAATATTTACAAGGTTTTCACATTTGAGGGCCCGGTATCGAATACGCATTCATAGTTACATTTTGATTGAACTGTACACACATGCTTGTGGAAACCCTCAACTGGAAAAGACTTCATTCTCCTTTCTTTCATCAAAATTAACGCATTTTTATATAAACCACCCCTGCGCACACTAGCAGCCTGTTGCAAATTTCTATTTTTGGTTGCATCAACATTAATTCGTCACTGCCGATTCTCTAGACAGGAGCAACGACGTCCTTATCATCCAGGCATCCTATCAAGAGAATCGCCGTCCATTCAATATGACTAACGATTTAGTCAGCACTCGAGAAAATGTGGATTCTCTCGCGCTAATTTTCATAAAATTTCACGGCGCTAAGATACAACCTTTTCGGCGGCGCTTAAGTGAGATATCCTCTTAATAACAAATTTTCTCTCCTTAAACGAATATATTACTTACATACGATTTATAGAATAATTAGCATATAATTATACCGTACTAATTATCATCTAATAGTATTTGAACTATTAATTATTAATTATTTAACGTTAAATATACACAACATATATATATATATGTGTATATATGTATGCATGTATATATATATATATATATTTGTACGATTTCACTCATCCTGCATGAGCAAGAGTGGAAGAGTGATAGTATCGAAGGGGTTCCGGATGGTACGAGGGGGGAGGGGAGGAGGGGTATACGTAATAATAGTCTCTCGATAGTTTCGCTTTAGTCTTTCGTTCCACCATTCATCGTTTTTTACCGATTTTTGTCTATTTCTTTCCTTCCTGGACCAAGGACGAAAACAATTTTTGAGTCTATCTGAGCCAGGCCGAGTAATAATTGAAAAGCACCAACGTCGCGTTGTCTCTCTTTTCTTTCGATATCTCGCGTAACGTAGAAGATCGAAAGAGAAGGTACTCGCGCGCGCGACCCGAGCAATCTCGCAGCGGAAGGGTCAAGGGTCGCAAAATCGGAACCTCGCTCTCTCCGGTCCTGAGGATTCCAAGCCCAAACACGTGGCTCGAGCGCTCAACGAAAACTCGACGCAACACACAGACTATCTCTTTCAGTCTCTCTCTGTATGCGCACAAAACAGCATCAGAATTAATTATCTAGCGACCTCATCATTTACCAAACGTTTGTCGTTATTATTTATAAATCGTGCGATATAGACGATCGCAGTCGTCCACGAACTCCGCCGCCATCTCGTCTCCTTTTTCAATTCTCTAACAATCGCGCGCACGGCGGATCATGAGTCAATTTTGACCCTTAGCAGAAATTCTTTTGTACATATTTCAGAAGGAAATTTCATATTGAATTTTAATGTTAATATTTTTTAATTGTTTCTTTTAAAAAATGCTTTATTTACATACATATATATATATATATATATACATATACATATATATATGTATGTATATATATGATTGAAGCACAAAAAGGAAAATACTTGAATTATAAATAAAAAAATAAATAATAATTATGTGTGCTGCGTTATTCTATACGCATGAAATATTTGCTTCAATTATTATATGTAAACTTTATAAAACAGTATTAAGATATGGGTCACGAATGACCCGGACCCCGCCGGCGGAGAGTTAAAGGAATCACTTACATAATCGACCGATGTGATCGTCCGTAACAGTCACTACAATCCCTCGACGAACTTGGAGAGTTGGTCCTGTGGCGTCATCGGCGTCACCTCATTGGCGTCTGCGCCACCGTTCGTGGGCGCCGGAGCCGGCGAGGGATGATGAGGCATAGCGGCGGGATGGCCGGTAGGCGCACCTGGTCCACCACCCAACTGCGAGAGCATCATCTCGCTAGGACCGCCACCGAGTTCATGTGCCGGCGAATGCGTAGGCGTGCCATGAGGTGGATGGTGATGCGGCGACGGCACGGGACCCGATCGCGGCGACGGTACTGGCTGATTACGAGGAGAAGGAACAGGTCGTGGCGAGGGGTTGGGTTGTGGAGAACGGATAGGCGGTGGCGAACGGACTGATTGCATCAGCTGTTGCTGCACGGAGATCCCCGGCGGCCCCATGACGCCTTGCGGCGAGGGCACAGGCGGTGGAGTGGGTTTCAGACCCGGCTGACCATAGCCTTGTTCGTTGAAACCGCCATAACCTGGGAAGTTGGGCAAGTGTTGGTGTCGAGAAATGACGTTGCGTAATGCAGCCTCCCCGTTCTCTAAGTAATTACGAGGGATCGAGTGATTACCAAGAAGCGGCCGTATGGGTCGTTGTTGACCGTACGGCGGCGCTGGTGGTTGAGTAAATGGCTGTTGTTGCTGTTGTTGCTGCTGCTGCTGCTGCTGCTGTTGTGTGTTGTGCTGCTGCTGCTGCTGTTGCTGCTGCTGCTGGACCACCTGTTGCCTCTGCTGCTGCAGCATCATCTGCTGCTTGTACCATTGCGCCTGTTGTTGTTGCACCGGCTGTTGTTGTTGCGCCTGTTGCGTCAACATTGCCTGTATTTGCAATCTGCCTTGCTGCTGCTGCTGTTGCTGCTGCGGTTGCTGCTGCTGCTGCTGTTGCTGCGGCTGTTGCTGTTGGGACATCATATGCTGCAAACCAGGTTGTTGTTGAGGTTGATTAGGACCCAATGGACCGACTCCCCCGCCATGTTGACCAGGTTGTTGCTGATGCGAAACAAGCGCCTTTTTATTAAGAAGATTATATATATAATAGTATATAAAATCTGTGCACATAATATAGAAATATATATATATTTTTTTTAAAGAAAAAGAGTTACCCGTTGCTTGATAAAGGCAGCCATCAACGGCGGGTTACTTTTGAGTATTTGGAGTATTTGGTTCTGTTGCTCGGGGGTATGCGGGCTTCTGAGGGTCTGCATCAGCTGTTGCAGTGCATGCTTCTGCATATTGGTCGTCTGCGGACCAACTTGACCTCCGATCACAGTCGGTTGCCGCGGCATTTGTGCGCTCATTGCCATCCCTGGTTGAGCCTGATGCGGCTGTTGCTGTTGCATCAGCTGTTGCGGCGTCTGCTGACGCGCCAAGTTAGGATTTTGTTGCATCACCGTGTTCGATTGATACCTGCTATAAGGAGAATATGCGCGATGGTTGACAAATACATTCTTCGGTTGGCAGAATCTACTAGTCAATAAGCGCGGAAAATTGATTAATTAGAAATGTGATAATAAGTGATTTCTTTTAGAAATTAATGGTATATGAATATGAATGGTATATGAATGATATATGATAATAGCATAAACGAATTTAGTATATACTTTGCCGTCCATTGCTCCATCGGCATGAGATGCGTGCCAGGGTTTGGCATCTGGACTGGTAATGGCCGTTGCATTTGCGGTGGTGGCATTACGCCGCCCGTTTGACCGCCGACGCCGACACCGACGCCAACGCCAACACCGACGCCAACGCCTACACCAACGCCACCACTTGGTGTCACTTTGCCATAACCGTGCGGTGCTTGTTGCCTCGCAGCTTCCTCCTGCACCTGTTTCACTACTTGTAACACATGAGCGGGAGGTGTCTGCAAGTTGCCTCCAGGTTTTAAGCCAATGCCTTGCGGATGTGACGATGGTAAATTCGAAGTACTGACGCCGGGCTTCATTGCAACTCCAGTCGCCATAGCGACGTTTGAAGGCTGACCGGCCGGCATCCCCACAGGTACACTTGGTCTCGTACTCGTCATCACAGCCATTCGTCTCCTGCATAAATAAGTTTTTTAATGCAATATATATATATATATACATAAATATAAAAATTTCTAATAAATAAAGCTTAATAAATATATAACCAAATGATTAATTCCATTTTATTTAATATTTACTGAGGTTATCAATTATTTTTCAGTTTATGTAAATTATCAAAAATATCGTAAAATTATATTAAAGTTATAAAATACGAAAATTCTACTAACCTGAGTAATTGCGCCTGTTGTAGCCGTTGTTGCAGCTGTTGCTGCTTTATCTTGTGTTTAATATTGGAGCAGAATGGAACAAGACACTTGGTCTCTTGGCAGTGTTTCGCGTGATAACAACATAGCGCGATCAGTTGCTTGCAAATCGGACAACCACCATTCGTCTTTCTCTTGCAGTTCTTCGTGTGCATTACTACTCGTTTCATCTTACAACAACTCGGGAGACGGCAATTGGCATCTCTACACTGGCACGCATGCACCAATGATTGAATGCACCTCTGTATCGACAATTTCCGGGCTTCCTAAATTGTGAAAAAGAGAAAATATATGAATGTAAAGCAGATTTATTGTAATAGTGACATATTTAATAGAGTTTGTAAAGCTTTTGTAAATTACTTGTGGATTTGTTTGTTTGGCATCGGCCGGCGATGATCCGTCATCTAAATCAAAGCCAAGTTTCTCCATGGGATGCGGATGACCGTCTTTATCTTTACAACTCACACATAAATCGAAATCCTATAATTAAATAAAATTATAGTGAGTATAATTTAAATAAAAAGTTATTTCTTTCAAAGCATAAACTATTACGTACATCACAAACTGTACAATGGTATCTGGTCTCCACATGACTCTTGCAGTTATTACAAGTGTAAACAAACTTGTCTTGGCCTTGATTATGCAATTCATATAACATGGACATGGAACTAAACTTCGCTCTTCTCAGCGATGAAAATTCATAATGCCTCTCTCTGGCCATTGTCAAAAACGCATCGCGACCGTCCATCAAATCGCAATTGATCACGGGATCGGGATCTTGAATCGGCTAAAGGCATTTAAATAAAAGATTAATAATCACATGTAACAAATTTTGAACACAAAGTATAATAAAAACAAACTTACTGCTAAACTAGCCGCGCTTTGAGCACTGTGCAACCTGATTACAAAGAATACTTCCTTGTGCTTTTCCATGGTTGCAAAGATTTTTGCGGAAAGATCATTGCCAGTCTGAGGAGTATTCGATTTCTTGCTATTTTTCCTTTGATTCGCTTTGGACTTATTGGATTTCTTCGCTTTCTTCTGACCTTTCTTCTTACCGTCCGGAGTTTCCGAATCTTCAGATAGCGAAAATATCTAAAAAAAATTAAATGTAGAAAATAAATATACGAAAAATATATAAGACGAGAAAAATTACATTAGTAAAGAAAATAAATATCTTCCACAACTTACTGCGTTTGCCGCAGCAGCAGCCGCTTCGGCCGCTTCAGCCTGTTTGCGCTTTTCTTCCTCTTCCTGATCTAATTCTTTAATACTTTCTTCCAGTACATTCGGCCAAAAGTCACCTTCAAAATATGGCAAATCTGCTGCGGATGAAAGTCTATCTTCCATCGCTTGTTTCAAAATATCCTGCATACAAAAGTTTAATTTATATATCTTTCTCTCAACGCGCATAAATAATAAAAATATTAAAAAATAATAAAAAATATTTAGCGGAAAAAATGTCGTCTACACATCCTATGTTCGTTGCTCTAATTAACAAGAACACTAGCTTATACAGTAGACATTGATTTAAGTCTCATTTGACCCCAATATGATACTACGACACTTATTGGCAACACAGAGACTATTTCTTGAAAATCGAAATAACAAATAAAAACGTTTTCAACTCACCTTATAGTCGAGTACGATTCTCTCGACCATTCCCTTGTCCAACATTTTCTTATACCACTCTTGTAATCTTTTAGGCTTTGGTATTTTCTGTTCTGCAGGATGGCAGTGAAAGATGTAATCGTCCCCTTCGGAAGGTGGACAGGCCCAAATGTGAGCCATAGTATATCTACAAAACGCCCCATCATATTTTTTAAATATAAAATCATATTTTATTAAACACTACAATCGTACTGATACAAAGTATTGTATCAATATCTATCTACTCAATGCAATTTTTTTTTCAAACTTACCCAAGCTGCTTCGCATAGTCGAGATACCCAAGAAGAATCTCGTGATATACAGCCGTACGAAATTGTCTAGGCCGGAAGAAGTGGACAGAATCTAGATAAGCGATGTAAACCCGTCTCGTATTCGGTGGCGTGCATTCGCTTCCGTATTCTTGCACGTGCATACCGAAAAAACATACGTCTGTGCCGTCAACCTCCTCGAATGCAAATAACGCTTTCGCACGATAAGGGAATTCGCCAGGCATGTCGCCGTTTTCGACGAATCTACTTCGCATACCGGGCTTGACCTCAACGACCTTGTCGCTGGACGCGACTACTCTGATCGCGACTTCGCCGGCGCCCGCTTCCTTTTTCTTCAGAAAATTATTCACGCGCGTCTCTATATACGTGCCGAGTTTCGTTACAGGCAATCGTTTAGCATTGAACTTATTCTCTTTGCGTTTCTGACCCTTCTTCTTTAAGCAATTATCACAAGTAAACCTGTTCCAAAGAAAAAGAATAGCTTTTCTAAGTAAAATATGCGAAATAGTAGTATTTGTACTTTTTAAAACTTATAAAATATGAATAATGATTAGAAGAATTTTATCTAAATTGCAAAATTTAAATTTCTCATCGCTAATCGCGCCTGGCTCTTGACAGTACATTTTTCTTTTGTCAGATGTTTAATTAATCAAAGCGTTAGACTTTGTTTTGCAAATGTTCCAATTTTTCCAATTTTTGTTTTAAAAAAATTAAAGTATTATTATCATTATTTACCCTAACGGCCAGATCGCTTCCATATGGAGTACACAAATTTGGTGTACCCTCCTACCACAGTCTGTACAGGTTACAAAAGGTTCCAATTCTAAATGATCATTCTTCATCTCCTGGAACTGTTCCTTCTTGATGGCACTGTAAAAGAAGAAGATAAACATGTCATATGAATCGAAATAACACATTAGCAGAGAATGTATTCATTCATTTTTTTATACACTTACGTTTGAGGCTGCGTTGGATCGTCTCCCAACGTCACTGTGTCACCAGGAATGTCGTTGAAACATTTCTGACAGAAGGTGTATCTGTCGGACAGAAGACCATATCCCTTTAGACTGCTATTATATCGGCATCAAGCGTGCGTTTTATCACATGAACAACGATGAACGACGACCAATTTTTTTTTTCGGTGTATCCAATTTCGGCAAGTGTTTATATGTATATATTCGATTATTACACATGCATGCAATGGTATCGCCAATTGTTTTCAGTTTTCGATTTCAGTTTCGTTTCAAAAAATCGTGGGAAGATCATTGGTGTTTTTTTTTTCAATTAGCATTTTCCAAGTATCAAGTTTTTCGCAGCAGTAGAGTCGAAAAGAAGCAAGGGCGCAGGCAACACAAGAAGAAAGCGGCAAACAAGGATTTATGTGCGCGTGCGCAGCCCATGGGCGAAGGTAACATATAAAGAAGAGAACAGTGCCAATGTTAGACGCGTATCTAAACGTCATTCTTTTGTTTTTAATTTCTAATCGCATATACCGAAAGGCTATGTAAAAAATGTACCCAGAAATCAATAAGATATCATGACGTAATATAGTAATTTTTCTCATATAGTTTGCTACAAATATTACAATTATGACTTTGAATAGAATACATATCCCTTAAATATATGCGCAATTCATATATGTATAAACTTTAAGTGTAAGTTTAAAGTATTAAAAAAATTGCATGAATAACTATTGTATAAATTTTGATTTAAAGAAAAAGAAAAGAGTGTAGGTCAGGGGACTGACCTGCTTTTGCATGTATTTTCAAAAGCAGGTTAATTAATCCTGCCAATTTAATCTAGCGTATTCAACGACAAGGCACTTGAATAAAAAAAATGCCCAAACAAAATGAATACGCAGAATATATAAAAATTATACTGTTTCAATTCTTTATATATAAACAAGAACTAAACAGATTTCTAAAATCGTTACTTGATAAAACTTAACTTAGTTGTTAATTTATTAGGCTCGAAATACTATGTAAATGTATTCTTATTGTGCATACATTTCAATTGAGAATTAAAAAATTATTTTTTCACGCATATTTAATATAACTGAATTAATTAAACTAATAAAATGTTATAAAATTTTAGTATTGTTATTAAATGTTAATTTAAAATTAACACTTTAAAATAACATTTTATCTTTTTCATTAATCGAGTAAATTTTAGCTAAATCAATACATATACTACAGTGCATACTGACCTGTTTTGATACGAGTAATACTTTGCATCCCTAGGTATTGTGCAGAGTTGCTTCCCGTAACAACACAGCACCTGTGGGTTGAATGTATATTTCCTGCCACAACAGTATCCCAAAGCCTGCATCACAGGATCTATCTCTTGCTCAAACACTTCCGAGAGCTGTATGTAAAAAAAAAAAAAAAAAAAAAAAAATTATACATAAATATGTAAATTATAGATAGTATATTGTTAGATCAAAGATCAAGATTTAAATCAATGTTACCTTAGTGCAGTATCGATAGACTCGAGAAGTCTTGCGATTATAGAGCCAGGCATTGTCGAACATCATCCACACATCATCGACGTACTCCCACGGATCGCTGTATTTCTCCGTGTCGAGTTTCTTCTTAATCGTCGACAGATCCATTGGTTTCTTCACGATGGTCGGATAATCCGGTATACCTAACGCCTGAGGATCCACGGGTTGTCGGAATGGTATGGATTCGGGATCTTGTCGATATAGTTTCTCCAACGTCGGCATCAGTGCCTGGCGTAGCTCGTCGGGCTTGAACAAACACTTCTTCTTGTCGGTAGATGTACCGCTCGGTTGAATCGGTTCCGGCACCATGGGTTTAATGTCGGAGGTAGTCGCGTCTTGATCGGAGATGGGAGTCATGCTCTCTTCTTTGATGCCAGTGGGTTCCTCCTTCACAGTCGCTTCATTCGAACCTTCCTCCATCGGCTCGGTTTTATCTCAGTTTTTATGGTGATCTCATTGTTCACGCTCTTACCACCGTCCATCCTGTGATTCTGCGACTCCTCCGGCTCCTGTTTGATTTCCATTTTTATAGTCGTCTCGTCCTTGGAATCCAGCTTACCCTTGTTGTTGTTCATCGGCGGACTGGGAGAATTGTCGCGATCCAGCGCTGCTGTGATAGCGGCCATCTGTGAAGACATGGACGTGCTGCGAGGAGTGTTTAACGCAGCCCGTTCTTGCGAGGTCATACCCTTGCCAAGGCTCGCAAGACCGGCGGGGGACGGCGTCGGGCCCGAATGAGGTGGTGTCTGATTGGACGCGGATGAGACTGTTTGATTTGGTGTCATTAACGACGGTACAAGCGGTGTATTCGGCGTGGAAGTAGTCGATTGAGGTCCGTTTGTCGTACCCGTCGTCGTCGTTACAGGCACGCCGCCCGTTGGACTCGGTCCACTAGATACAGGTGGTGGTATCGTCTGCGGTGTTGATGTAGCGATACCGTTGTCATTAGGTGTAGAAGCCGATAATGGTCGGGTGGGAAACTGCTGATTTTGTTGCTGTTGTTGTTGCGTACTCGGTTGTTGCATTCCGCTGAATACAGGTGATGGCGCTTGCGGAATCGATGTTGCCGGAGTGCCAATCTGGTTCGGAGTGTTCGTCGGTTGTGGCTGTTGCTGCTGATTCTGTTGTTGTTGTTGTTGTTGTTGCTGCTGCTGCTGCTGTTGCGCCGCTTGAGCCTGAGCTTGCGCTAGTCTGACTTTCATCATATCGGGGAACTGATGCTGATTCTGTATAGGAGAGCTGTTAGGTAAACCGGAAGCCGTACCGTTAGACGTCGGGAATTGACTAGTCGTTGCATTATTAGATGCAGTGGTGGATGTTGTGAGATTAGCTTGAGACATTTGAGGTTGTCCAAATGGACTATGTCCGGAATTCGATACCATATTAGCGTTGGATGTAGATTGTCCATTCGGACTGGGACCGGGAAGACCGACTAGGATCCCTTGTTGTTGTTGTTGTTGCTGCTGAGCTTGTACTTGCTGCTGTTGTTGTTGAACCTGCTGTTGCTGCTGCTGGGGCTGCTGTTGTTGTTGTTGAGGAAATTGCATTCTGTTATGCTGCTGGATGGCCATTGCAGGTATCGTTCCCAACTGACTTATACTGGGTGAGTGACTTCGTAGACTAGGTACCGACCCGACAGGTTTCGATGTCCCTGGTATTACATTCCCTACATTTGGAGGCGCGCATGGCCTTAATCCAGGACCAGATGTACCCGCTGATGGCGGTTGTTGCTGCTGTTGTTGAGCTTGCAACTGTTGCTGCTGTTGCTGTTCCTTCCGTTTTTGTCGTTTCTCATCTATTTGATTCGAACGATTTTTTTTAACAAAGGCAGCATACTCAACTTGAAAAAAATAGCATTGACTATCTATCAGAAGTGAAAAAAACAAAAGTATATAAATAAATAATAAATAATAAATGAAATAATAAAATTAAAAAATAAGTAAAAAATAAAATAAAATAGTATAATTTGAAATAAATAGTATAATTTTAAGAGCAATTAAAAAAAGGTTTGAAGTAAAAAAAATTTGAAAATTGATTTTAAAAATTACAAGAAAAAATTAATAAAATATTCAGTCATTCAAATAACATCACTTACCAAGTTCTTTTTGAATCTTGTAAATCTTTTCAGCCAACAAATGATAATACTCCGATCGTGAATTAGCCATTTCATACATATCACCTTCCACTTTTCTTGCGTACGCGACTAAATTGTGCATTCTTTTATCGAGCATGGCCTGAGGATCAGGAGTTGGAAATATTGCTTGTACCCTAAAAAAAAAGAGACAACGATTGTGTTATTACTTGCCAGGAGAAAAAACGAATTGCAAACGAAAACATGCATTATGTTATGAAATTCTTATAATCGATATTTTAATAATAATTTAATAAAACTTAGATTGAAAAAACTCTGCACAAAACACATGTATGCATAGTTCAAACTTCGATGTAAATTTAAATTATTATTCAAAATCTGGTCCTTACAGTTTATGAACAAGATGATTTCTGAGATCTGGTGTAACGGACATATGCCACTCTTTTGTTCCTTGCACTGGTGTCGCTGTAACTTGACCGGACTGAAGACCGCCTGGAAGCTGCAGATTAGGTAATCTATTCTCTCCACCAATTACGCCGGGTTGTCCGGATTCGTTTAGTCCAAACAATGTTTGCATATTGACGGACTGCTGTATATTGGCAGCGGCCGCCGCCGCAGCAGACGTGGGTCCGGTAGCCGATACTGTCTGATTACCAGCTACCCCGACCGTACTAGGATCGGAATTTAAAGGAAGAGATACGTTCGGGGCGACCACTTGTTGCCCAGCACCGACTACGGACTGTCCCGGCGCAGCTGGAACACACATGAACGGCCATCGCATATTTCTTTTCACATCTATACAATAAACATTAAGTTTTTAAACAAATTTAATAAACGTAATATATAATCACTAAGAAGTATATAATATATAATATTTTTACAAACATATACGTATAAATTTCATAGAATATTTTATGTTTAAAAAAAAACGGAATTAAAAAATTTTCTAAAAATATCGTGTAACTCACTCTGTGTTTGAGGTTGCGCTGTTAATCTAACATTTCCCAGTGTACCTGGAGGACCTGTCATGCCAGGCGCTGGTATTCTAACGCCTCTACCAACGCCTTGGCCAGATAAGATTCCCGGTGTTGTTGTCGGACACTGAATTCCTAAAGCATCATAAGCCCTTCTCATCTCGGATGGACTCGGATTTGGCTGATTATTTGGTTGAATTGCAGGAGGAGCTAATAAAAGAATATCTAATAAATTATCGCGCAAATGTTTTTATTAAAAAAAATATATATAAAGAAAAGACCCTCCGCGCACACTAATCTTATGTGAAATGGATTTCGATTAAAATTAGTTGATTTTCTCACATGTTGTAGCTTATGACTTGCTAAACAAAAGATGCACTAGTCTCAAAGCTAAATAATGGACAGTTAGTGAAACACAGCCAGTCAAACTCGTAGAGCTTTTTGTATTTGATTGACTGTAAATCAATAATTGTGTATCTATTGTTTAGCTTTGAACCTATTACATTATTGTTGAGCAGATAAAAAATTACAACCTATGAGAAAACCAACTAATTTTACCGGGATTCTATTTCATCTAGGATTTCATATAGGCTTAACAACTAACTCTGCACTAATGGTATATAAAATTGAATATCGGGAAAATCAGTTGATTTTCTAATATATATTCTAGCTTATGACCCGCTAAACAAGAAGTGACATGGACTTAAAGCTAAATAGTAAATAGTTACTGATTTTAAACCAGCCAGATTTACACTCTGATTCTGGGAGTTGTTTGACTGTAACTCAGTAGTTAACCATTATTTAGTTTTGAGGCTATTACATCTTTTGTTCAGCAAATCATAATTTACAACATAGTATAAAACCGGCTGATTTAACTAAAATTTCACATAAGTTAGTGCAAGATTGTTTACCTTGCGCAGAGTTTGTCCTGTTTTTATTGGCCTGTTTTATTGGTAAGCAGACCGGACAGTCACCTCGATTGCAATGCTTCCAATGACTGATAATTTGTCGGGACATACTACAGTGTGGTACAGTACAATTCTTCCCAGCTTGGCAATTCGTCATGTGATTCAAAACATTTTTCATCGTTTTACAATCCGGTAAGGTACACTGTCTCATTTCGCCGTTCGCTTGAGTTTCGCGACGTTGACATTTATGAGCATGTAGAAGTAATACCAATTGTTGTTGAATAAGTCTACATTTTTCTGGATCGGGCGTCGATTTCGGATCTGAAAGTTCCATTTAAAAATGAAGATTATGGTTAGCAAGATAATTGCAAGCAGTAAAGATTTATAAGATATGGGGAAAAAAAAAAAAAAAAAAAAATTTACCTATAGTTAATGAATAGTGAATAAACTTTTCGACTATCCCCCACTTACTCGTTGGAGTTGGAGCCATTTGTCCTTGAGCACTTTGCTGCGGACCTGGCTGTCCTCCTCCAGACGATCCTCCTGATTGAGGTTGAGCCGGACTCGGTGCGGATGGTTGTGTCTGTTGTGCTGCCGTTCCACCCTCCTGACCGCCCACAACGTTCGTAGTACCAATAGGGCCGGCCGTTCCGGTGAATCTGTTGGCGGCTGCTGCTGCTGCTTGCATGGCAGTCATGTTTGTTCCCACAGCCTTTTGTTGCGGTTTGACGACACCTACGAAATTATTAACTCTTAAGGAGATGCCGGAGATATATTTTTACCAACCGAATGCGAATATTGATTATTTTGAGATATCTTTTTATTGATTATACAGATCAATAAATCCTTTTCCACGATTAAAGTACTTATAAAAACGGACCGCGCTAACTATAATGCCATATATAAATCTTATAAAAGTGAAAAATTACAGTTTTGTTATTAGCTTCTTTTTTGTGTCAGTTCATAACAATACTTATTTATACAAAAAGTTGTATAGTTTGTCTGTGCATAAGCTACAGCTTGCGCAATAGGGATAACATGAAAGAATAAGATTAATAAACAATTAGAAGTGAGATTACAAATCTAATAAAAAAGTTATATACTAATAAATTTTGTGCATATGTGCTAACCTATCGGAATTCGGCCGTCAGTCCGGCATCCCTTTAACCCACTAATATTTGCAAAACCTGTACATTATGAATTTAAATTTCTGTTATTTCTATTTATCGAGTTTATTTCTTCTTACGTATAAGACAAAAGAAAATATGATGTTATACCATAGCCGCCGTATGGGCTCGATGCACTTATTTGTCCCATGTTGGGTAAACTCGTCATGTTAGGAGGAGCCTGCATTCTGGGACCGACTTGACCGGGAACGATACCAACTTGATGCACTTGTTGGTGAGGACTCTGTCCTCTTGCTGGACCGACCATATGCGTTTGTTGTGGCTGCTGCATCGTCACGGCCCTCGTGTTCATCATGCCGGGACCATTTTGCATCGGCGTTACTCCGTGAGGTCCGCTAGGGTGATGTATCGCTTGAGTATTAGGACCCATCATGGTTACCTTTAAGAAATTATTCTTCATTAGTCAAATATCTTTTATCGGCTCTTGATTTTTAAACATAACATTCATTATAAAGTCAACGTACTGTATTTAAAGGTTTATTCAAACTGTTGGTTACTATCAAACTTCCCCCGGCCATTCCCCCCATATTGTTGTTCCCGCTAGCAGTACTAGTCATCACTAATCCGGAATTCATGCCACCCGGCATCGACATCGCGGGGTTACTTCCGGCCATGCTCATGGACGATTGTAGACCGCCCATCGAATTTGCGATGGACATTTGATTATTTGCCAATGAACTGGCTATGCTACTCGGTAGATTACCGAGACTCACGACCATTTGTGGATCGACTACTCCCTTGGAGACGGAAACATTCGGTGGCGATTGCATATTTGGACTTTTATTGCCTAGCGTACCGGCAGCCATTACCAAGGAATTCGCCACCAGATTTTTGTTGCCCTGTTTAATAATTATTTGTCAAATATAACGTGCCATGGACGAAATTAAAATATCTAAATATACCGTAAATGTAATTTAACACATACCTGTTGTTGGATGAGATGATGAGAGAGTTGCTGTTGCTGTACATGCTGCCTGAGTTCTGAGTCGAGAGCACCATTTTGCTGCCCTGGACCAGGACCTGTCGCCGGTGGTTTAGTGCTCTCGGTCGCGGAACCCCAAGATCCAGACGACAGCAAGTCATCAGGAAGATCATTTTCAAGATCAAACATTTCTGTGTTTGATATGTAATCTGAGAATGAACGAAAAGGAAAAATTAAGAATTACATTTCTGTAAAAAAAATATCCATCACGTTTGTCTATCGTGATAATGGATACTGGCTATTCAGAAAAGTATATCCTTAACACTCACACAAAAGTGTAATTCTTTTTTGTATTTACTTTAGCATTATTTTAATACTTAAACTGCACATTAAAACAATTACATTATTTTATAAACTATTTTGACCAAATTTGACAAGAATATATTATGATAATTGTACTGTTTTCTGAAATAACCAGTTTACAGACTCAAATACTTAAAATGAGCATGATATAAGTACCGTAGATACCAAGAAATCATTAGTAATTTTACAAAGGTAAGATTTCAGCGCCGTCACCATAGCTTTTAGCATCAAAATTTTAGCAGAGTATCAATATATATTTTTGATATTATAAATATATTGTATTCTATATATATCACATTATGTGCATAATATATGTACTATATCCCTCTATACATACATGTAGAACATGTATTACTATTGCAAATATATGTATATACACATATATACATACACTGTAAATATGTATATGTATGTACATACATGCATGTATATAGAGACATATATATGAGAAAAGCGCTTAATTTGTTTCTATAATATATTACAAGAAACACTTCTAAAAAATATGCTATTAATATATTTCAAAAATATTCACACATATAACATTTCTTAGTAAATGAAAATTCTTAAAACTTACTTATCTATCCACGACTGATCATACATTGACGGAGAAAAAAAGGGTGTACATATAATATTATGTAGGAAAATACAAATGCAGAAAAATCCTATATTAAAAAGAAAACAAAAAAAAAATAATACAGAAAACTGTATACATGGATGTAAACAAACATGAAAAATAAGACATGAGACATACACTGCATGAGCATAACGTAAAGGAGCCTTATTCTACAGCAGAATGAAAATTTTCGGCACAATAAATTAGTGCTAAACTAAACAAGCAACCAGCGAAGCTACCTGATGGCAAACTTTATAGAAGAGAGTCATGCGAAGAAATCAGTCACTCTAGAAATCTGTTTTAAGCGAATCATAATTCTTGAGACGCTATGTATTACAGAGCGCCTATTTTCTTCACCCTAAAATTAATAAAATAAAATATTTCGAGACTTGCATAAAAAAATGTGTTTGTGCACGCAGTTTTTCATTCTATTAACGTTTTTAATATCTGTAAAAAATTTTAATATCTACGCTTCTCTCTCTTTAATCGTCAGACCGGCCCCCCCAATTTAACTATTTTATCACTCGTATCATGAACTTTGGGCTATAAATATAGAGTGTATGTGTATACATATACATATACATATATATATATATATATATATATTTAATTTCACCTGCAATTTTATTTGCAATTCTTCTGCAAGGGTCCACAAGCTCCGCGCGTGTGTGTCGCATGTCTATGTTATGTTATGTTTGATTCACATACATAAATGTCTCACGATGTTCATTAGAAAAAAGAGGGGAACTGGCTTATATCTGAATCTTATGTACCTTTAATAACACCAATCCAATTTTTCTCCATTGCTATGTAAAGTGAATCAGTCCGTGTTCAAAGTAAGACAAGTTTATATATCCACATATTTTGTTGTGCTCTATTGCGCTCTGCCACATTTTTCAAAGATAAATTACCGTGTGACATCCATTTCTTTCAATTTTCTTCTCTAAATGTAGACAATAGAGACTAAAGTTACCGAACCATAGTGACAATATGCCAAAATTACCACGCATCTCTCTGAGAAAGCGAACCGCAACTGGAAGATGTATCAATTTTCACTGAAAACCAGAGACTGAGACGAGAAAATGTATGGTATCACTATGTGAGATGATTTGGACGGACAAACGGTTTCTTTTTTTCTTTGCAGTGCTAAATTTAATGTTTGTTTACTTTTTAATTTTTCTTTAATTTTTCGCTTTTGATCTGATAATGATATTTACTTCTTTTATTGTTGTTCCAATGTTGTTGAAGTGGATGCTGTTGCAGATGTAGCTGTTGCGATGGGCCCTGAATTTGTTGCATGTTACTGCCACCTCCCCCGTAGTTCGTATAAGCATGGTGCATCATTAAAGGCGCCATACCCACTACGTATATCACAGTTTTTTGTTTAATTTAGAATAAAGGAGAAAAAATTGTTTAGGCTTCTTCTCTTTGGATTGCGGTATCTAAGTGATAGAAACAGTTTGAGAAGCAGTTTTCGATAGAAATAATATCATACAATCGCTTTTACGCGCCAAAACTTTGCGCTGTCCTTGCTTTTAAGATGAAAAATGTGAAAACTAGTTTCTTGCGACAAACTGTTTCTGCAATATTGTTTCTGCGACTTAGTACCCTCTCACAATAAGCAATTTTGATACTTGATATATTACATCTGAGAGTATAAAATGTAATTATAGTCAATATAATATATATATAGCGTTATGTGCATTATTTTCAAAGTTTGGAAATTGTTAAGAGATGATTAAAATGTGTTCAGAGAAAAAAAAATAGTAAAAGAGATCTATTGTAGCGCATTTTGTTCATGCCAGCAAAATATAATCTTTAACATTAAAATGTCATGCGTCCCATGCACTCTCTACAGGATCACAACTATATTTAAATCTAAATACATCTATAGAAAAATGTACAAAACCGTGTGTATATTTGTATAGTACACTCGCGATTGAAGAAAACAGAAGAAGATGACAAGTGCAGCGAATACGGAGAGAAATCACATATATATGTATATTTATTCTTAAAACATGAACATTTCATTTACATTTGCACACATCGAAATGATCTCTGAACAAAATTCGGCATCACGCGCGCACGAACCATTTGTACACAAAAAAAAATGTCGAAATGTCAAATCTAAAATAAATCCATCGCACGGCTACGTGATGTCTTCGTGGAGTCGGATCAAAATGTGACACTTTAGGCAAATTTACTCGGAAAATTAGAAGAAAAAAAAAAAAATTGAACATTATTTTCGCGTGCGATCGTCTTCTGCCGAGCGCGCTGTCAAAAAAAAAAAAAAAAAAAAAAATCTGTAAAAATACGCAAAATTCCACTCATCGTTGACTCGTAATTTTGCATATTTTTCCGTCGAACACTGGACATATTTCACAGCGCATCTTCGGGGACATGCGGGAGCGCGCGCGAAGACGCGTCGTGCACACAATTTGATCAGAGGTTGCGAGACGCCGAATCGGGAGAGACGCGTAACACAAGCGGCGGAATTAAAGGACGTCGGCACGCGACGTAAGAAAGAAGGCACCCGTGTGCCGCGAAAATCTGTGGAGCGCGGACCGAGATCGGTCGGACGGCGACAGGACAGGAGAGACGAGGAAGAGAGGGGAAGGGAGAGGGGAGGGAGGGGATTTTTTTTCTCCGCCTGCGTGAGTACACGCGCGTTGGCGCGCGTCTCGTGAGAAGAGGAAGGAAAAAGGAAACGAAGCCTTCCTTCGCGGAGGGTAGTTCCGGTTTGCAGCGAAAGTCGGAAAAATGAGGAAAGATAGATAGAAAGAGAGAGAAAGAAAAAGAGGAAATCGCGATCCGATTTTCGCGAGGAACGAGAAAAAGTTGGCTGAATCGCTCACCCGTCGTGTCCGAGGGCCCCTGGAACGGATCTAGCTTCGGCCGCTTCGGCGGAGGGCCGTCCACCAGGTGGTCGGCCATGGCTCCCCCGCGGGCCTGTTATCTTTCTTCCGTAATAAAACCTAACCTCTTCCCTCTGCCTCGCAGGGCGCGCAAAAAGGAGCAACGGGGGAAGAGAATCCGTCGTTTTCTCGTTTTCCCACTCTTACTAGAAGACGTCGGTGGTCGTCGTGGTCCTCGAGCCTGCCGTTCTTCCTGCCGCCGTTCGAAGCTCACGCGCGATACGAAACGTCGTCGTTGACGATGATGATGATGATAATGATGATGATGATAATAATAATAGCGCTGCCGTCTCTTCCCGAACGCCGATGGAGCCGCGTAACAAGTTCACCGAACCGCAATCGTCGTCGCGAGCATAACAATAACAATGGGAACCGCGGCGCGTCAAGCGTCCCCGTGTAGCACTCGGCGGTGCACGGTCAACCATTGGGCATCGTAGGGGTTGGGGTACGTCGAACCCCGGCGAACGGAGTCCGCACGCACACGCACACCACCACGACGACGACGGCGACGACGACGACGAGTAACAATGTCCGCTGCTGCTGCTGCTCTCTGTCCTTCTTTTCTCCTCCTCCTCCTCCGACGACGACGACGACGACGACGGAGTCGGACTCGGCGCGATTCGATTCGCGGCGACACGGAGAAAAAGCTCCCCCCCCCCCGAAATTCTACGATTCCTCTCTGTTAATAATAATAAAGACGCGCGACACTTCTTTCCGCGAGGCGACTCGTCAAACGACTGGCTGCGCGCACGGCGCTAGCTCGCGGCGACGATGTCGCTCCCGAGGCTGGCCTGTGGCACCACCATCTTCTTCTTCTTCTTCTTCTCCTCCTTCTCCACCACCTCCTCCGCCACCTCCTCTTCCTCTCCTCTTCTCTGCACACTGCGACACACGGGGCGCGCGAACGATTCAGCGGGAATCGCGACGTTTATCCCCGTACATCCGTACGCGAGCCAAGGACGCGTACGCGTACGCGGGTATCGTCACCGGGGCGACCAACGCGCGCTCGCCACAGAAATTCGCACGGGAAAATGCGATCCACCGCACCGCACGAGTCACGGCTAACGTTGGCTAACGTAAAATGGCGGCCGCTGTTGACGACTTTTTCTACGCTTGTCAGAATATGCCCGACTACTGACTCGGCGACCACGGACGTGAGCGGAGACCGCGCCGCCATTGGCCGAGCGGGTCACGTGACGAGGCGCGCGGCGCGCGCGATTGGCCGACGGGAACGCCGCGGCTGCTGTCACGTCGCGGCGCCCGAACCCGCCCGAGCGCGCGCTCGGGAGTTTCCGTGACCGTGGCGCCGCGGACGGAGCTCTTCGTTTCGTCTTTCGTCATGGCGCCCGCGCCGAGCGCGGACGGATTCTCCGGGACTGTTCGAGGGTGTCCTTCCTGTCTGGACGCTGATCCTTGGACGCTGCTAGAATCGTGACGATTCCTGGAATCTGCCGATTTACCAAAGTTTCAAGAGCGTCGAACGAGACATTTGTTTACGTCGTTCGGAGGAGTGACGCGAGAGTTGGGAAACGTCGAGAGACGACCAAATTATTCGTATTTTTGTGTTGATGGATTCTTGCTTCTTTTCAAACGTAATCTCACAAGTTTTATCGAAATACTAATTATAGGTTGCACATGTGAGAAGTATTCATTGTTTTCGAGTCTATATATATATAACTGCATGTATTTGTCATTAGTGTCAAAATGGTCTTTAATCTTGATTTATTTACTAAATTATTGTGTCGTTCGAGTTTTAGAACTTCATGTCTATGCTCCATTTGTTTGTCATCGTTATCAGAGATTACATTTATTTTCTGTCAGTTTAGAGGAGAATGAATAAGAGATTTTGATTATATATATTTCTTCATAAACACATATTACATTATAACAAACCATGTTGCATTTATATTTATACAATTACATGTAATTCTTTATTATCAATATTGTGAAAGTCATATTACAACACGCAGTTATACATGAACACAATATGTAATAAATCAAGATTCTTACAATTGACAACGAAATCAATATTGAAATATCTGACAATGAGTTTTACACTGAAATAAACTTTATCGTTTATTCACAGGACCATCAAGGATTTACAAGATGAGGCTAAAAAATAAATTCATTAATCAGTAATTTTTTATATTTTTAGGTTATTCTCCCACAATGATGAAAAATCCTTTCACATCAATTCATTAATTTGCATATCCTCTCTTCTCATTTGCTATTAATATATATACACATAGAAAAAGAAAGATTAAAATTTGTTTCGATACATCTTAAAATGTCATATTTTTGTATATATAATTAAATTGCATGTACATATGACATTTTTTCAAATCGAATCGCCGCGTCGTCCTTTCAGGACTCTCCCAAAAGAGACGGAAGAGAAGACATATTAATGATGAGATATTGGACGTCGCGCGAGCAAGATGGTCGAATCGCGAGATCTTTCTCGATCGAGGGGAGAAAGAGGACACGTTGCTCGTCCTCGGGGAGCGCTGGTGACGGAGGTGGAGGTGCGAAACGGCACGCGACCCGACGCGCGTCAACCTGTCGGTGTCTCCGTCTGGCGCCCGACGAGAAGAGCGGAAAAGAAACGGGTGAACGCTCGGAAAGCGGAGAGAGGGACCTCGCTCTCTCTCTCTCTCTCTGGAAATGGGACGGGAATCGCGGATGACGGCGTGGCAGCAGCCACTCGCTTCTCGCCTTCTGTGACAGCGGAGCGAGCTCTCTTTGTATACCGATACTTTGCACAGGATTCTCTCATTAAGAAAAAAAACAACAAAAATACATCCTGAGAGATCCAAGACATCCTGATCCTGTCGAGGATCTCTTCATCACGCGTGATCTTCCCTGGGATAGATCGATATATATATATATATATATATATCCATAGGGGAATTTATGATTATGATTATTTTCGAGATGATAGTTATGTAACTCCGTTGTCTTTCGAAGCGTTCCATTCTCTGTCCCTCTCTCTTTTGCTGCTCTGCCTCTTCACGCCGCGCGAATTCAGGAAAAGTGTAATCGATATCGTTAGCCCGCGCGTATGCACGCTCGGTCGCTTCGCAGTCTACGATTTATGTCTAGTGTCGCGTGCACGACCGCGTGCGGGGTGCATCGACCCATCTCTCTTTAGGTTCTCGCCGCGATGTATAGACTTATATATACATACGCGAGCAGCGGAGTGCGCCTCGTAAAGAACATTTAAACTATCCTCATCCTCGCCCCTCGTGTTCGCCGCTTTAACGAAAAAACTTAATTAAGATTGCATACAGGGTGTCCTAGTCGTTGCACACGTTCGCGTGTTCCTTTATTTAGGTTACGAAACGTCATCATCTCGAGGATCTCGAACTTTTTTTTTTTTTTTTTTTTTTGAAAAAAATATATTAATATAACTTTAAAGATCTTATTTTATTATGTGCTCTTGCTAGATTTTGATTATTATATATATAATTATCATGTTTTCAAAAAATCAAAGACTGCGATCATTACAACTATTATAATTATTATATTCATTAGCTGTTTCTTGGAAGAACAATTTTGAGAACCAGATGAACATTTTATCGCAAGAAAATTTTATTGATTTTAATTTGACAAATAAAAATAAAACGCAAGCTATATATGGAAAGTTTTTGAAAGAAAATTCAAATTGTTTTGCTATAAAGTTACAGAATTTTATGTAATTATTATATTTTTTAAAGAAACAAAGTTAAATTTATATGTGAGAACTCTATGTACTTATTTAGCCAGGTCTTCATATTATCGAAAAAGATATCTTTTTTTATTTAAACAAAAGAGAAAAAAACATTTATTTTCCTTTTAATTGCATCCAATAAATAGCGCACGATTATATAATCCTTAAAGTTTGATTATGGAAAGAAGGAATAAAAGTAGTTGAAAAAATGATAAAACTACATGTATATATATATAGATATATATGCAAATGAATCGCATTTACGATCATCACAGCAAAGAGAAACGGTTGTACACTATTATTTTCATGTAACATTGTGTCATTGATATCACTGGTAACACGATAAGAAAAGTAAAGCTTTCATAATCACGATACATTGACTCTCAATTTGTCATCGAATTATGAAATAAACAAGACGACTTTTCAATTTCCTCAAACGAGTCACGAAATTATTCGCTTAATTAAACACGTAAATATTTAATCATCCTGATAATTAATGGCATATAGCCGGCGTTTAAAATATAATGAAGACATCTTTTGTAAACTAAAGAGAATTTTTGGAATCCACGAGGCTGAAATTATTAATACATTATATATTGTGTCTGTATTATATATAATCATTATATTAATTTTGAATAATTAGATGTAGACACAATAAAGCACATAAAGATATAGTAACATATATAAAAGAACAGAAAATCGAGTGTGTTGTTCACAAATATTGCATAATATATAATGTCAATATATTCTATCTTTACAATAAAAAATAATGAAATGGAAATGTATTTGACTGAAACTTTTGAGTAAAATTTTCCATGTATAATATATATGTATAAAATAAAATGAATCTTATCTGCTTACATATTAAAATTATGTTTTGAAAGAGAACAGATGATAATTTTGGATCGTTTAAAACATTTTAAGCATCAACTAATTTTGGATAAACATATATTTTAAGATGACATCTGGTCATTTATCTACGAATTTAAAACATTTTAAAACGTGTGATCTCGAAAATATTAAAAAGTTTAATAATCTTTATTGCATGCAGTAAAATATTCAAGAATTCTGCAATTTATTTAACTGAAAATGATTTAAAAATTTAATCCAGTAAAGATTAAAATGATATATTTGCGCAGAGAATATAAATATATACATATTTAAACTAATTATTAAAAATTGATTCACATAAATATAAAAACTTTTGGACGACGTTTATCTATGAAAAACTCGATTATCCGTATTCCGGTAAAAAATAATCATGCTACTATATATATACATTTATTCTCTCTCGTTTAAAAAAATCCCAAAATATCGGAAGAATGAAAGAGAAAACTTTTGATGAAAATGAATTCTTTCTAAGCTTTATCTTTTATCTTATCTCTTAGAAAATGTGCTCGAATAAAGCTGTATCGAGGATCGAGAGTTGTGTACGTAAACGCGCATTTCGAAGCATCTTTGGAGATAAGGATTCTAAAAATATATATAGCTTTTCGAAATAATATTCTCCCTTATATAACGCCTTCCTGTTTTTAGCCACCGCGCGCTTTATAATTAATGAAACTCTTCGCCTTCGTGTCCTTCGTCTGTCGATCGAGCATCGATCCTTCGCGAGCCTCGCGCAAGGGAGATTCAAAGATATGTTTATTTAATAACACGAAAGACGACATGGGGGGACGTGTAATCTCGACGCGATGATTCGTACGCTGCATCGAGCTTAAGAAGCAAGGTCGATCCTCGCTCGAGCTCGGATCGGCGCATTCCAAAAAGACCATTAACGAGGCGAGATAAACGTCCGACCAGCTCGTACTCGTAAATCAAACATGCCTTCCGTTCATTTTCCTTCTCTTTCCCTCCTATATATCCGTGGACACTCCCTAGTTGAACAATATCCTATATTGCTCATTCTATACATTTTTCAAAAACTGATCAACATTTTTAATTTTTGGATCATTAAACAATGATACTCTTGCACGTTATAATTTGACTTGTTTAGATAATTGTACTTGGCCTTGTACGATATCCAGAAATGATAAAACTACTTGGAGTTTTCATCTTTTCTGCAAATTCATGATCTTTAATATCCTAGGGTCTAATTATGTGATCGTATAATGCTTACTTTCGAAAAATAAGAATAGAAAATTGACAAGTGACATTGCAACTTATTGTATATAATATAAACGCAAATAAAACACCTATATATAATTACATAGGTGAATAGAATCAAATATGAAATGTAATTCTTTGCGCGTTATCAAACGGATTTTCACTAAGGATTTTCATCGGATTAAAATAAAGATTAAATAACAATAAATTTTCTCGCGCCTTCTTGCATTGTTTAGTAGACACAAATCATGTTAATTACTCTGAGATTTATATTTCCTTTGAGTAATTGAAATATGTATAAGTCTATCGTGATATTCCAATTTTTATTTCAAGTATTCAATTTTTCTGCGTTCCTAGCACAACTTGTTTCATTAAAATTATAATCTGTTTCTGATATCATCAATATGCGTGCTGGTTTATAATACATTAATGTTTTTCACATAATGGAAGATAGTTCTACAATAAATTGAAAAATGGAAGTATATGTCACATATATTCATGTACATTGAAATCAAACTGTATGTGCATTCGTACTATTCAATTGATATAAACAATAATAAAACTTTATTTGCCATAATTGATACTATGATATCTAACCATGATAAGTTATATACACCATCTTCATGTAATTAACAAAATGTGTGGTATACAATAAATAATTTTCTTACTTTTTAAATGCCAACAAGATATAAAATACAATTCGATTTTTATACATTGACGAAGTTTTAAATTATACAGGGAATGCATGCAAACTCTTTATGTGTATGGAAATATATATATATGTATGTGTGTGTGTGTGTGTGTGTGTAACATAGCTCTATTTTATTTTTATTCACATAAACTTATTTAGATGTAACTATTTACCCAAACCATGCTTTTATTTTATTGTAATGAATAAAGCCATCAAATAGCAGTAAATTGATGCTGTGTAGCATTTATGCCTTTCTATTGAGAGGCAACATTACACGGAAGTACGCAAATACAGTTGACTGTATTCTTGCAGCGCTATAACAAAATTATATATTGCAAAAATCTACAACAAAAATTTTATATCGATTATTTTCATGTAAAATAAAACGTTAGTTTTTATATGCATTTTATGCACACCCGACTTCTATTATTGTTTTAGCAATTAAGTTTTGCACAAAATATACAATTTGAAATGGCTCTTCTCATCCAACGTTAATGAGAAAAAGATTTTTATATTGTGATACCACATTTTATGCCTGCAATAATTACATATCGCTCGATTGTATTAAAAATATAACATAAATATATAATCATTAATCTTTATCCGATTAATAAGCATGAATCGGAACTTCATTAACAAGTGAATTGTTCAAAAATTTATGTTTCTGTATAACTTTTTTTTCATTCTTTCCGACGATTCGGTATTGCAATTTTTTTTAAATCACGGAAATGCAGCGTAAAGATATTTCAATAGATAAACTTAAAACTAAATTCCAAATGCACGTCAGAAACTTTATCGTACTGCTATTCTCATATACAATGTGTATCGTTACTGCAGGTTGCACAGTAGGATACAACTAATTCAATGAAAAACTACAATGGAATATATACTATATTGTTACTTGCCATTGATTCAGCTTAGCAATCTGTAGAAAATCTTTTGTACATATATAAAAACATTAAAAGACACGAGAGAAAACGTCTGATTAGAAGTTAGACGTTCAAATAAAGTCTTTGCATATAATCACCAGCTTTTTCAAAATGTTTGTGTACTTCCAACTCGATTAAAAGCCAGTATTTCGCCTCTTTATCCGATTATCGTTATGAAGTAATAAAATATTCGGTTGAACGTCCAGAAATATATTCATGAGCGATAATTTCAAAAATTTCTGTAACAACAGTGTATGCGTAATGTGCTTCTGAAAAAGTTCCGCTTCCAATGTACAATCATGTGGTCAATCGCTCTTTGACTTTCCTGCAGTCTCACTGTTATCTGTTTTTGTTTCATTTTCCGATTTTGTTTCAGTTTCCTGTTGACTACCCTCGTCTTCCTCGTCCGAATAATTTGTAGATGTTTCGCCAGGCTTTAATAATTTTCCGACGTAATCGTACCTCTCTATAACAAAAGACTTGTATGTACTATCTGGTCATGACTCGGTATATTTGAACTTATATATTTCTTTACAAGCTAAAACGGAGATATGTAATAAAAATCCTTGAACCGTACTCTCATTCATTATTCATGAGATTCAAAGAGCTTATGTACATTGATTTAAATAGAATTTATTTCAAACGGAGAAGTATGAAAAATGTTACATGTTTATGTTCAAACTTTATAAATTTATCTCTCATGTATCTTATTGATGTAGATAACGTACTTACATAAAAACTATTGCATTAATGTTCACATTAATATTAATGTCTATTTTTCATTTATTTTTACATTGTGCATAAATCAGAAATCATTGTAACTTAGCACGTATCTTGCTGCGCATGTCAAGTCACTTACCTTTAAATTGTTCTTCCCATTCCTTGATAGAATTCATTTCTGTAGTATTCAAATCGCTCAAGTCATCATATTTATCCGTTGCTGCGTCTACTGCAAATCTTGCCAGTGCCCTACTGGCATCTCGACCACCAAATGCTTCATACGGTCCACCTATGCAAAAGAAAAGCGATAGCACAATTTCTCCAAAAAATTCTTATCAAATTACATAAATACAAATCCTTAACATTCATCAGAGATTACGCACAATTTAAAAAGCAAAAAAAACTTTAATGCGTAACATACATAATCTCCTTCCGCATCAAACATGTGCGAAGGAATCTAAAAATGATTTGAACTCAATCAGTTGATTTAAGATTCGATGAAAAAACTAATTCCACAGTTTCCAGTGATTTCTCCACCTGTTATACATATATTCACGAGTGAGTTTTTCTTTCTCGACGTACATCATGGAACGCGATAAGCCGTTATCACCGTCATCAGCTAAGCAGCCTCGCGACGCCGAGAGGCACAATTGGTCGTGACGATGGTGCGATTTCGCGATTTTATTTTTGCGCACGCACGACGCGATGATATCATCATCGCCGCTCCTTTGGACCGCAAACTAATAAAGCCATCCTATGTAATAAAGCGCGCTGGAAGAGAGAGGGAGAAAGAAATCGGATTGATTCGCATTAAATTGAACGCGCTCGTAGAAACTGATCTCTGGAGCGTGGAAGACGAGAAGGAAAACAAGGAAAGAAAAAAAAAGAAAAAGAAAAATCTCACCAGGACCGTAAAACTTGGCGCCTCTGGTGACGTCGTAAACGCTGCCGTTGACGGCGACGAGTATCCGGCCGTCCGGACCCTTCCCGTCGTACTTGGTCAGCTCCTCGATGGTGAAGTCGCGTCGCAGCTTCGGCAACTTCTTCACCTCCTGCACGGGCTCCTCGGTCCTCGTGCGGCTCTTGACGATCTTGTAGACGAGGATCGCGATCGCGCCCACCAGGACGAGGTTCAGCGGGCTCTTGACGATCTCGGCGATGAAGCTCGACAGGAACTGCTGCTGGGGGGGCTGCTGTTCCTGGACGTTGGCGGCGGCCGGCGAGCCGCTCTTCTCGGCCATCTTGACGAGACCCCGTCGAGAGGAAGACGAGGAGAGTTCGATCGAGCGCGGTCGCTCGACTAGATTATTCAAACGTGTTGCCAACGACGCGTATCTCGGATCGTAACCGGAAGCGATCGAAACGACCAGGTCTCTCCTTCCGGAGCACGATGACGGACAAGTACTTACTTCGACGCGCGACACTCACGACTGACGTGTGACGTACGAGCGGGTCTGCACTGGAGTCTGCCGGTGCGCGCCCAATTCACGCCCGCGAGAACCGATAGACGTAGAATCGCGCAGCGCGAGATTCACGTCCAGCTATTCCGTTCGACGTGGCCGCACCGTGCTGGTGCTGGTACTGCTACTGGTTTACTGGTGGTGCGTCCCAGGACCGTAATGCACTCTGGGAGAACGAGTTTTCGCGACAAACTTCACGGTTCAAGCTCTCCCTCCTCTCTTTTTTTTCTCTCCTTTTTTTTACACGGAAAAAATGTATAAATGAATTTTAATTTCTGAATGACACTTTGTTTTCTACGCGAAAATATCGAAACATTTTGAATAAAAATTATTTTCTGAATGAAAAGGTTTCTCTCTTTCTCTCGATACTATACTGCACATTTTTTATCTGCAATGAATAATACGAGAAACGGAGAGCTCAGAAAAAATGTTGCACATTTATCGCATCTGTCGTGTCTGTGCGAGTTGTTAGTGCGTATTTTATTAATAATGAAGAATTTATAAGTAAAAAAAATCCTTATTACGAATATATAAGGATCTTCTCTAAATGAGATTACGTTTACATGGAAAACCGAGCTTAAAATTTCTCGCGTCCTTGAATATTAATTTGCATATATGATTAAATGTCAATATATGTATATATAATTATGCATCAAGCAACTATACATACCTATATATATATACATATAAATTTAATCGATCATGGTTCATTAATTTGAAGAAACTCGCTGCAAGTCGTCGCGGCAACTTTCGCACATTCATACAGCTGTGCCGATCTATTATCGGCTTTTTCCCAACAAAAAAATTCCAATGTACCGTTTCCTGCTTTTTTTCTCCAGAGCGAGGAACAGTTATTTTGCGAAAATGAAAAAAAAGAAAGCAAAATGGCGAGAGTCGACCGGAGCTCTCTGGTTTTTCAGGCTCAGAATTTTCAAATAAAATATAAAAATGTCGCATCTATTTTCTCACCACGCTACTTATCGTAAAATCAACGTCGCCTATATATTGCGAAATATCTATCCATCAAACGTTTGCAAAAAAGAAAATGTAAAAGTCATGATATACGCGTCGATTCCTCAAAGTCATGCTAACGCAAAGTCACGTGTTACCTTAGGTTAATTATCGCAGTCGCGACGTCACGAGACGAGACCGAGCAGAATCGAGTATACGCGTTTATGATGATTATGATGGATCGTCCTCGCTTTCTTTTTCGTTTTACGTATTGTGAAACTTGCGGAATGTAGCGCTTCTTATCTATCGATCTAATCTCTAAGATTTCTCGCAGAAAACTTTTACCGATATAAATAAGATTGATTAATTACCGATAAACATTAATATATTTGCTTCACATTTTCTGGTTTACATACTTGATGAACGCGCAGTTCCTGTCAATCATTTTATTTATGGCAATTATATCTATATTAAAACGCATAGCTCGCATAGCTAATATAACACTGGTTTTTCCTATATGTATATTTATATTAATTACTAATCTACTTGTACTCGAATAATTGTACTTAATGGACGGCACTGTTGCATCGCGAATACTGACGCTTTTCCAACTCAATCGGAATATATTCACTATTTACTATCCCTATTATTTGCAAATTTAAATTGCACTCGTGATTAAGTCGTATTCGTCTAAGACATGATAACAATGCATCTCTGATTCGTGCAATAAGTAGATGCAAATATATCTATAAAATATTTGTTCCCTAGTTTGTGTCAACTATAAGCTGTCTCTCGTACATTAATAAAAATGTACCCTCTATGTTTAAATATGTAAAAATTACGCCTTCTTTTAATCTTGATAATCAAGATATGGACGGATATCGGTAATGGACGATACAGTTTCAGAATTAACTCTCTCGGAGCACATTGGACAAGTCTCTTCAGATTCGATAATCCTATTGCATAGATAACAAATTATTATAGGTACTTTCATTGTTTTTCTTACTAATATTTACCAATTAATTTACCTTAGAAATTCACTTCTGATGGCTGGAAAATCACACTGGGGACATACTGAGAAATCATCCTCCACAATATGTCGTCCCTGTAAATGAATACAGTAAAAATAAATAAAATTGTGGGTTTCTCTTATTTTGTAAATAGCATTAAAAAAGTTTTTACCGTTGCAATACAAAAAGGTATGGTGTTTTTACATTTATCACAGGTTACTTTAGTCTCGGGAACTCTACTCTTGCAATATGGACATGGTGTCAAAGGTTCATCGTCATTTTCGATATCTTTCGTTCTCGGTGCTTTCCTCACGATTGCCTCAATCTTTTTGCTGTACTTTGCATCTATCTGTCCCCGATATTCAGGACGCATCAGCATAGCAGCAAAATTAAAAGCTGCGTTTTTCAATCCTGCTCTATGACATTCTATTACAGTTGAAGTTAATATCGGTACGATATCTAAACAAATATATAAATTACATGTTATATATTTAAGTCGAGCATTAATTCGCGTTAATTGCTATTACTTTTTTTTTATACTAACGTGAGGGAAATTTCGATATATTGTTAGCTACTCTGATCAACATCCGAGCACCTCGTAAATGATCGCTTCTTTTCACGTGTAATCTCACTAGAATATAAGAATGCAAAAGTCTTAAATTAGCCTGCATCTCTAAAGGTATTGTGATTTTGTTTCTCTTCAATTCTTGGTACATTCCAAATAGAACATCGTGAGCGTTTCTATAGTTGCCTGAAATTGAAAAAAAAAAGAAATTAAAGAGATTGAAGATTATTATTTAGCATTATAAATTTGTTGATATATACCATTAATTTGTTCCTCGTTTGCAATTATAATCGCTGTTTTAGCTGCTTCTTTATATTGTTTTCTAGCCATGTATAATCGAAACAAATATTTTGGATCCTAGTAAAACAAAATATATATAAATTATATAAACTACACTTTTATATATTTATTTTTAAAAAGTTCTAAAATAGTGTTATAAAAATTAATATATTCCTGATATTTGCATTCAACTGATTATTTAAATATAATAATGAAAATTATTATAAGATATAATAATAACCTTTGGTAATCCATCGCTACCTAGTAAGAAATCTATTAATTGATTAGCTAATTTATCATCCTTAGAGGATGCAACAGTATCTATGGCATAAGTGATTGCTCTGTCATCATTCGGAACCAATTGTACAGCTTTTAATAAATGTCGCAAAGCCTAAAAAAAATTACGTTATTAAATCATTGAAATATTATTAATTCATTGTACATAATTAGAAATAAAACATTAAAAACTTACTTTCTGATATTCTTTAGCGTGAAAATAATACTTTCCAGCTAAAAGATTGTTTTTTTGTGATTCAAAATGCATAGCAAGACTTCTAAAATCTTCCTTACGAACATTAGTGTCATCAATCGTGTTCACCAAAATCTCTCCGTACAATTCCATTTACCATGTTGATTAGCTAATTGAAAAGCTTCGTCGTGACAATTCGATAAAATTAGGAATTTAATAGCCGAATTATAATCATTCATCTTTTGAAAATATCTTGCAACCATTCTTGCTCCTTCTATACTTTTAGTTTCTTGAACAACTTCAACGCTACGAGCTGTAAAAATACAATAATAATAAAGTATTATTATTTAAATATTAATGTTTTTTTTTTTTATTAGACTAAATCTTATATAGAAAGAAATAAGTAAAAAGTATTTACCAGGATTATTTAAATGTTCCAGATTAATTCTGATTATGTTATCATAATCCTTTGCAGTTTCATATGCTTTGGCAGCTTCCTCATATTTACCTTCTGACTCTTTGGCTTTTGCATATTGTATGTTAATTTTTGCCGACGATATTTGTGGCAGAAGTTGTCCCACTTTGTGCCAGTTTTTTAACTTTATATATGCAGAGGCAGCTTTATCAAAATATTCAGCCTTCTCGTATAATTGCGCAGCTTCGCTAAATTGCTAAAATATATATAAATTTATGCAATAAAAAGACATAATTACTTTTATGAAATCTAACTAATATGAATATAAGATTATACCTTCATCGATTCTAAAATCTCTGCGCATTCCTTTCTTAGTAATCTTGAACTTTCATTATCCATGGCTATTCCAACACCTTTTCTGCTATCACCGCATCTTATAGACATTCTTGCTATTCCCGCTAAACATTGATTTCGATGATGAGGATTTTGCATAGTCAAAACTGACGAAATATTGGAGTCGATAAGACCGCGTTCGTAGTTTGTCAAAGCTTTTGGATAGTTTCCTCTATATAAAGAGATTTTGTTGAATAATTATTTGCAGTATATGACAAAAACGTTTACGCATTACTTACATGAAAAATTATATTTGTTTTTAATCATTTCTTAAAATAATGATATACATATTTATTAATATTTGTAAATCTTACGTGAACTCCAATTGTTGAGCGTATTCTTTAGCAATAAAAGGGATTTCGTCAGGTTTTAACTTCTGTGCTAAGCTCAATGCTTGTTCCCACTGCATTAAATCTCTCCTTAGATACAAGGCTTGTACGGGTTCGGAAGATTGTAGAAAATATTTTTCAGCTTCGTTATAATTTCCTAATAATATACAAGCATGGCCACATAACAATGCTAGTTCGTCTATATATTCCATATTTTGTAATGTCCATACCATTGAGGCATCTTCTATGTGTCTATATACGCGAATGGCTGTGTACAAATTAAGTATTTTATAATGTTCCTAATAAAAATACGAAATTAAATATTACTATTTCTTACCAAATTCGACATTTAAATTTGCAATAGCACTTTGCCCCAATTTTAGCCATGCATCTTTTTCGTTTATTTTCTCACAACTATTCCAAGCTTGTTGAAATCTAAAATATAATAATTTTTTTTTTAAATATTTTATACAAGCTTTTATTTTTAATTATATTTTGTATAATCCTTACCGTCTACACAGAAGCTGATTATTTAAAATTTCATTAATTTTTTTTGTTTCCACAATATTCCCTATCTCTTCATGAGAGGCTAATGTTATTTGTATTAATTTGCTACCTATTGTACTTAATGTAACTTCTCCGGAATACATCAGTAAAGGCACTGAGTCTGATGGCAACTTTGTTGTATTTATTTTCACTACTTTAGTACCTGTTATATACATAATTATAGACAATTAGATATATGTATATAATTTTATATATATATGTGTGTGTGTGTGTGTGTGTGTGTGTATAATATATGATAATATAGATAATCATTTGATTTACTTACCCTCAACAAAGTATTTTACAAAACTGTATGTTACAATAATGCTTTTGTTGTATATAGCAAATATAGCACGTTCGAATATATTCTGATCCCAGAGAATACAATCAATGTTATCAGGACAATCAGGCACTGCAATGGCCACTTCATTTATCGGGTCAAATACATAAGCATCAGACTTATTGTCAACAAAACACAATTGTGTTCCATTTGCATCCAAATATAACTCTTTTATTCCATTGTTATGTATAAATTCGGTACATTGATTAAACGTTTCCAAGTAAAAGTATACAATATGACCCATCTAAAAGTATAAAAAATCAGAAATACACATTAATTCTTTTAATTTATAATCAATTATTCAATATTATCTCAAAGTTTAATCTCACATTAACTTACATCATTACCATAAATCAAAAAATCCGGACAAAGAGCGTGACATGTTATTCTACTATGAGAGTTTGAATCTGGGAACATTTTTGTATCTTTATCACTATTTATCAATGCTTCATCAGACTTAATCTGTGGATAATATAAATTAGTAAAATTATTTTGCGACTTTCATATTTCATATATATACTTTTATATTAATTCAAAACTCATGATTACCGAATGCAACTGCAGTTTTCCATCGAATAATGTAGATACATATCTCTCGTTTAAACGCATACTATCAATCGTCGCCAAATAATCTCTCTCAAAATGTATCCTGTCATAATGATTTAGAGACAAATCCCAAAAAAGAGCTCTATTGTTTAATCCTACTGCTAAATGTACTGGACCCACTGCTAATATCGTTGGTTCTATTATAGTGTTAATTATTTGTGGACTTGGTTTCTCCTAAAAAAAAAAAAATCCAGTGAAAAATACTTTACCTTGTCACTTTATGTTACTAAAAAACTTATCAATACCTTGTCCAATATATAAAGATGTACAGCTACTTCCATCAGACTCGTTAATAATGCTATCCTGTTACCACAAACACTGGTTAATTTTGGTATTTCTATCAAATATATCAATATATTGCCAACATAAGTCACAACTGCCAGCATTGTTCCGTCCGGCGACCATTCAATACTGCTAATTCCATTTTCGCCGGCCACCGTAATCATTGTGTCGGTTTCCTCGAGATTCTGCAAACTATGTACTTTTAATGTATTATCACCACAAGTAGCTACTTTTCCGGCCATTTGACTCAATGCAATATCTGCCAAAGTATCTCTATGGTTCTTAATTTGAAACAATTCTTGGCCAACTTCCTTTATATGTGTTGATATTGCTATAAAATAACCACCTTCGAATCCTACCAATATATAGCCATCACCATACCTGTAAAGTAGAAATTTATATATATATTTAATATAGTATATGGAAGTATCGTGTGTGCATATTAACTAAAGTATTGCTCCGTAAATAGTTACCATTTGTAAGTTACAATTGATCCATAACGTTTCTGAAAGGCCAATTCAATAGGATTTTCTGGGTCCAAAATGTTGTATAAAAACAAAGTCGTTTTGCTGACGATAAGAGATACCTAAATATTTTTTATTTTTACATATATAAAATGAATAAATTTATGTGAACAATTTACAAATATTTTTCGATAATAAATGTTCATAAAGTCATATACCGTGTTTTCTCCACCTATCCTGTGATCCATCTTCATTTCACTAAACTGTATATGAGACGGATCACCCTGAAGAGCTCTCTCGGCGGGTATCTCCTTCGCTTGTGCTAATGGTTAAAACTTTGTCCTCACTTGCCAAAGCTAGAAGACCATCTATCGACCATGCGCCACACAAGATACGCTTTTTATGTTTTCCCAAAATAGGTATCCGTCTATATTATGCAACAGAAACCAATAATTAAATAAAATTAAACATTTTACAATTTTCAGATTACATAAATATTTTACTGATATTCTAATCATACTTTGCATTTATGTGATCGTAAAGCACCAGATTTCCCTTCTGCGTCCCTACTGCTAGCAAGCAGCTCTTCTTCGCCCACATCATACAGGTCAATCCATCTCTTACACCCGCATCTATCTGAGACTTTTTGCCGGTTGTGGCATCCCATAAGACTATAACTGATGAATTCTGCGATATTATTGCCAACAGATCTCCATCAGAATCCCAACCAAAGCCAGTGCATAATCCAGAAATTGGTATCCGTTCCTGAATATCTCCTTGTCTATCAAAAATGGCAACTGTACAATCACAACCCGTTGTGGCTAGATGTGTACTATTTCCAGGACGCCAAGAAATATAAACACTGCCGATGCCGTGAGGTTGGTCCAGTCGATAGAGGACCTATCATTAAATAAGATTGAAAACTCTTTATGACAGAAAAGCTCAGAGTAAAGTTTGCGTAGCGAGTAGATTGAAAGAAACGATCAGAGATATAAATTTATTAATCGATGCGAACCCTTTCCTTTTTCATTTGATTCATATTTTTATTATAACAATTCTACAACAATTACATGCAGAATGCAGCTGTCAATGACGTATAACTTACCTTCTCCGACGACATTATAACGCGGAGAATTGGATTTTGACGGAGAGATTAATTAATCTGTATATTTAAATAACATATCTCTATATAATATTACGATGTTCATAGTTGAAATATTGATTTATTAGGCAGAGCCATCTCCTCGTACCAATGTACCGCGTACACCGGCCATATTGTTTACTTTTACCAGGTTTGTACTTTTTAGCTAAAATGAACAGAAAAAAAAAAAGGAAACACGAAAAGTGCAAAAAGTTCACTTAAAAGAACAAACGATCATACACACAATTTAATTAAATCAATTTAATTTTAATTTAATTTAATCACAATTAACAATTTTTAATTTTAATCACAATTTAATTTAAATTTCAGTTTAAATTTTTTAAATGAAATTATTAATTTTATCAATGGAAATGGATTGTGTCCAAAATATATTCATAATAATAAAAACTTATTTTATAAAAAAAAAAACTTTTTTTTTTTTAAATATTTTAGAAATACACAAAGTCTTATAAAACAATAAAATATATTATTCAATCAATTCTAGAAGAGTAAAAAATATTGAATATTGAGGATGTTAAATGTCAAGAATTGTGTGCACATAGCTTTTTGTTTATTAAAATACATATAAATTTGTATTTCAATATTAGCTTATTTAAAATAAAAATATGGCTGTCAATAGTCTGGAAATGAGTTATCTTATATCTTAATGGAAAATTAAATACTGTTATATTATGCAAACATTTTGTTCAAATAGTATACTATTCTATATAATTTATAAATCACAAAATTATACGAGTAATGCAATGTTAATATTTTATGTATTTTAATAATTTTTTAAAGAAAAAAATAATAAAATATCTAATTACTGAAAAAATGCATGAATCCTCATGATTATATTTGAACTCATACATTGTCTGATGAAAATTTTACTTAAGATTCAAAGCCTAAGGCGAAGCTTTCGGTTTCAATTCATCATAACATGGTCTTAAAAAAATTTGATTCTTCTTTGTTGGATTATAGTACTCGTGTCCCTGTAATATAAATATTTTTCTTCTCAATAATCATATTAAGTATACGTGATTTTTTGATTATTTGATTGTATTTTGATAATAATACCTTGGACCAATCATAAGAAACAGCATATGCAAATATCTGTCCATTGTGATTAAAACAGCAACGTGTGATGGGTTGTTCCATTGTTTCAGATGACTTTAACTTTGTACGTGCATCTTTATCCCAGAAACCAAAAGTGCCATCGCCACCTACAGTTGCTACAGTGCCATGTACTGGATGGAATGCAATGTCATTAACCTGTGCATAAAAAATTATTACAATTAAAAAAAAAACTGAACTTTTTCTTTAAGAAGATAAATTCAAACTAAAAAAATTTGAGACAATTTTACCAAATATCTACAAACCGCATAAATATCTTGATATCCATTTGGTGTACCATTAGTTCTATGACATTTAAATGTAAAATTTTCCTTTGTACTAAGATTCAGATGATGAATTGCTACACGTCCTTCTGTGCTGCCAATCGCGAAACCAGTTGGAACTTTTTTCTTATCTCTGAAAATTGCTACACAACGATATTGGTACTTCAAGCTCAGCTCAACTGGTTTGTATTCGCGTGGACTGCCTTCCAATTGGTAAACTATTAATCCACGTGTAGCTGTTCCCACAACTGCCATTGGATAATCCTGTAATATTAATAAATGTAAATAATTTTATATATTATATAAATTTTATTGTATATATATATATATATATATATATGTATATATTGTATATATATGCCTTACCACATCAGCACAATAACATCTTTCTGGTAGATTGATAGTCATTGCAGGTTTAGGACTACGTAAATCCCAAACTGAAAATTTAATATTAATTAATAAAAGTAGATATAAGATGTAAATAAATTTGATAAATATTAACTCTTAGTGTTTTATCCCAAGATCCTGTCATCAGACATGAATATGTAGAGGCCTTTATCCAATGACACGTTTTGATAGGTGCATCATGCGCTGCCACCTGCATGCTCTGATTTGTGGCCAGGTCCCAACACTTTGCCGTTTTATCACATCCTGCCATAAAGACCTTAGTTCCATCCTGATAATTTATACTTATGATATAGAAATTAATATTTAAAATTATATATATATATATATATATGTGTGTGTGTGTGTGTGTGTAAAATACACATTCTTCATATAAATATCATGTAACATAAGATAGAAACTTTACATCGCTCCAGCATACAGCCAAAACTGGCGCTGCCATGCTTTGCATTGATTTAGGTACAGTTTTGCCGGATTGCTCGACTTCCCAACAGCGAACATTGCAATCCCATGAACCGGCTACGAGAAAATTCTGTTGGATAGAAGCCGGGCTGAACGCTAGACTGGAGACAGAATCGTCCGGTGGTGAAACGACTTCGAAATCCTGCATGGGATTCGACGCATTCGACGTTCCCGTCCTTAATGTGTTGTTTTGATTAAACATTTCTAATTAACTCTGGTTATTACTCCTTATTTCCTGAGATATCCTCGCGTAATCTCTCTGTAAATAAATCCGTGTTCATGAAAAGAGGTTAACTTTTCTTTCGCGGATTATCTCCTTTGAAGTATGTATAATTATTTATATATTCATATCACGCGTGCAAAAATATTACATTATGCCAAATTGATTAAAATTAGCGAATAAACACTCGAATGTTCTAGTTAATGCAATTACAAATAACGAATATATATGCGACACTTGAATCGTAACCAAACAAAAGTCTGGACTTGCGCTTTTGCGCATGCCATGATCTAGTAAATATAAAAAGATAGGGTACCAAATCCCATGCATGCGTAGTCGTGTCATACAACCAATTAAAATGCCAATTAAAAATACCTAAAATGTTAAAATCTAATTAAGTTTAAGCAACTACAGATAAAATAATTAATTAATTTACGTTGGTAAATAAGGTTAGCAATAAAGTTAAAGTGCAATGTTATCGCGGTTTCTGATACTTCTGAAAAATCATTTCTGAAGTATTAGGAAAATATATTTTGCAAGAAAGTCGATAATTCAGTTTGCGAGCGATATATTCTGGAAAATTGATTTTTGAATGACTAGGAGAATATATTTCGCAAAGAAGTATGCGACTGTTCCGAAGGTAGGAGGGCGGGAACAGCTTCAAATAATGCATCCTGATTGGTTGAACCGCGGACCAATAGAAAACGATTACGGTTAGGATTGGCCCGTCAAATCCGCGCCTTCCGCTCCTATTGATCGTAATTCGGCCAATCAACGTCGATCGATCTCTAAGATTTGAAGTTTGAAGCGAACATCCGGATCGATCGAATATCTCTTTGCGACATATATTCTCCTAGTATTTCAAAAATCAATTTTCTAGAATATATCGCTCGCAAACTGAATTATCGACTTCTTCGCAAAATATAGTCTCCTAATAATTCAGAAATACATTTTTTTATTAGAGTACTAAAAACCGCGAGTACTTTAATCTTATTATTGGCTACATTTATCAATGTATAATAAATATAAATTTTATTTGCAAATATCATTAGTGTATTTCAGGTAAATTCTTCTGATTAAGATTGTCGATGAATAGAATTGTTTCAAGTATATTATTAAAGCCAAGTTTCACTAAATACATTCATGTATATTATTCTTCTTATCATTATATATTTACATTACGTTTATTATCATGTTTACATAGCGCATACTAATAAACTTTTTTGTTTTAAATAAAATGATGTCTTTCTATATGCTGTAAGGTATTAGGACCATTCCTCAATAGATTGCAAATATCCTCGTTGCTAGTTGATAGTTGCGGATTAACCAATCAGTTGACAAGTTGCTTTGCTCTGATTGGTCAATCGGCAATTGTTAACTAGCAACGAGGATATTTGCAATCTATTATCAAATGGCCCTTAGTTTTCTCATGATTGGTCGAATTGCCTAATTGTCCAGTTTCGTTTTCTGTAATAGCAGAAGCTCGTCTATGTATTTTATACATTTATGGAATTTACGTTTAAACGCGCCAAGTTCCATCAAAGATCAAAGAAATTGTTTACCAAATTTATAATACTATATTTAGGATTGTACTTCTTAAATATTCAAGTTATATGTTATAACAAGTAATAATTGTTATTGATTGTCAAACGTACAAAAGGATATTCAATTATAGTTATAAACAAAAGGTATGAAATTGAGTAATTATAATGTCCAAGCTTATTCTAAAATAAGCTACATTTTGTTAAATACTTTTCATTAATATTTATGGAATATTTATTTATTAGGGATCCAGACATGAATTCTAAAAATGCGATAAATGTTTCACAAAACTCCAAGGTGGAAAAAAATAATATTCTTGCTGCATATCATATGTTGAGATTTTCAGAGCAGGATAAAGATTTTAATATCGCAGACATTGAATGCAGATCTCTTGCTATGAAAAATATCACAACTAAATTGTTGTAAGTTGAATATAATTTTCTGTCATATTAAAAATTTATCACATACAAAATATTTTTTTCTTAAATTTCTACAGTGATGCAGAGGATACAGCAGCAGTATTATTACGAAAGGGTCTTGATAATTATACCGTAACGATAGAAAGATGCAATTGGAGACAGATTAAATCTCAATTGCAAGAAAATAATGCATTAAACTGGAAATCAAAATTACAGGATGAAAGTGCTACATTGAATCTTATAAAGCCTTTGGCTTGTCAAACAATTAATACTTTAGCTTGTAAAGGAAGATCTTATAATGATAGAGACATAGAGAAAATAGTAAATAATTCAAAGAGAAGCACAGATATGCAAGAAAGAAAAATTTCTTCACAATTACAAGCATCTAGCCACAACTCAAATAAAGAATTTTTGTTGAAGTCTAATAAGAGCGAACCAAATATATCTACATATTTCTCAAATATACAAAGAAATGATAATTCTAGTAAACATATAAGTAATATCAAACAGAATGCATCACAAATACAATCAAACCGGCAACATTCTTATCAGAATTTGGATAAATTTGTACAAAAGAGACCTATATTGAGTAGTAATAATACAAATGATACAACTAAAAGTTATGAACGGACAAATCCACACGCACCAAAGTTAAAACGAGCTGCTTCTCCACAATTTAACAGTGAAGATAATAAAATAGAAAAGAGCGCATTCGACTCTTTCAGGAGTGCTAGAGACGAATTATATATCCAAGAATTAAAAAGGAACAAATCAGCACCAAAGAAAACTCTAGGTGGTCGTTCATCAGCCAATTCTCAGTTCGTCTGTCCGTTTAAACGAGATAAGGAAAAGTCGATGCAGAGTTACAACAATCCAATGCAAAACAAAAATACAGAAGAAGTGGAGGACGAGAGACTAAGGAACATCGATCCAAACATGATTGAATTGATTAGAAACGAAATCATGGAGTCAAATAAGACAATAACGTGGGACGATATCGCCGGTCTCGAGTACATCAAGAAGATCATTAAAGAAGTGGTAGTATTTCCTATGTTGAGACCGGACATCTTCACTGGTCTTCGTCGTCCACCCAAAGGGATTCTACTCTTCGGTCCACCTGGAACAGGAAAGACTCTCATTGGCAAATGCATAGCTTCACAGAGCAAGTCTACATTCTTTTCAATTTCAGCGAGCTCCCTGACCTCCAAGTGGATAGGTGATGGCGAGAAGATGGTTCGCGCGCTATTCGCAGTGGCTAAGGTTCATCAGCCGTCCGTAGTCTTTATCGACGAGATTGACTCGCTGTTGACGCAACGTTCGGAAACGGAGCACGAATCCTCCAGGAGACTGAAGACAGAGTTTCTGGTACAGTTAGACGGCGCGACGACCTCGGAAGACGATCGTATTCTAATTGTCGGCGCAACCAATCGACCTCAGGAATTAGATGAGGCGGCGAGACGACGTCTCGTCAAGAGGCTGTACGTTCCTCTACCGGAACTCAAGGCGCGCAAGCAGATAATTAATAATTTATTGTCATCGGTGCACCACAATCTTGATGAAGCAGATATCGTGAAGATCGCGGAAAAGTCGGCAGGATACTCCGGCGCCGATATGACGAATCTGTGCAAGGAAGCGAGCATGGAACCGATTCGAAGTATCCCCTTCAGTCATTTGGAAGATATCAGAATGGAAGAAGTGAGGCACATAACGAGTTGTGATTTTGAACAAGCACTGATCAATGTAAGACCTAGTGTGTCTCAGTCAGATTTGAATATTTATATTGAATGGGATCGTACTTATGGATCTGGTACTGCGCTAAATTCTGTATAAAGTAATACAATGAACAAATAAGTCAATTATAAAGTATTATTTTATTTCGGATATAAGTAACTTATAACTTATGATTTGTTATCGCTATGTTATATGCACACTTGGATATTATTGCTAGACGACCTTTAATTTACGATAAATAATAGAATTATAATCTATGAATGAAATTCGATTAGTATGCTTGCCAAAAGAAAAAGGTGAAAAATTGCTCAATATACAATTGTGCAACGTTTTAAAATAGCGATGCTTTTATTCAGTATTTGAACTAAAAACCGCATTGATAACATTTTTATTTGTGTTTAAATATTTTTATATAATATAAAAGGAGAATAAGAAAATTAATTGTTTGTATGTGTGTGTGTAAAAAAATAATTAACTTTATCTTCTATTCGTTTTGCCAACTCCTCTTTTGCCAGAAAATAAATGTTTCAACATTTTATTTCCAATGAAACGATCATGTATATATAAATAAGCAACTCTCAGTTACCTCCCTGGGTTACGTTAACCCATATAAAAATTTAAACGGGTGTCATTTTGGAAATTTTAGATCACTCCATTTTTTCTAAATATCTCGAGTCGTAGAAATCTGGTGACATTTGTACCGACATATTCTTTTTTCTTACTGTCTGGCGTAACGATAAAAAAAAGTAGTTCTAAATAGCTTCTTTAGATCCAGAAATATAAACGAAAAAGACTCTGGGTTACTCTAACCCATGGTGGTAAAATAGGGTGGCAAATGAGTGGTAACTGAGGGTTAAAAAAGCGGGAGCACACATTTTGCATAGGCGCATAAGCGTAAATATGAAAATCTTGATTGGTCCTATAAATAAACATATGCATAAGAAATTTGATTGGTTGAATTTCTTATGCATATGCTGCGTATGCAAAAGTGTGTGCTCCCCGCTTTAGTTCTACGACAACAATTGTTACGTGATCATTTTGTCGCTCAAACAATCGGTTTCAGCGGCTCGTGAAAAGGCACCTTAATTTAATCATCTTGAGAGAAAGGAGAAAAAGATTAGCGATATCGGCAGTTATTTTTTATTTAATAGAAAAAAGGAAACGACCTTATACTAGAAAAGAGTTTTAGATTAATCCATTGTTTCAAATGAGACGCGAACATGGATTTTATAATGCAATTTTACCCACAGTTTCACAGCAAATAAGTACATTTAAAATTACTTTCGTATGAATTCAATTCAACTTGAAGAGTTATTATACAAAGTAGCACCTTTAATCACAAAACAAGTATTAACTCGAAAACCAATATCTGCCAGTGAAAGATTATGCATGACATTAAGGTAAGTTGAAAACACCATAAATAAAAAAATAAAGTTAGAATATGTTATTTATATTTAAAATATTTATTATAAATATTTCTTATAGGTTTCTTGCTTCTGGTGATTCAATGACTTCCATGAGCTACCAATATCTCCTCGGACTAACCACAGTTAGCAATATTATTTCAGAAACTTGTGATGCATTGTGGTCTGTTCTTTCTAAACATGTTTCTTCCATATCCTTTAACAAAAGAGAAATGGTTAAATATTTCTAAAGAGTTCGAAGAGGTATGGAATTTTAACCATTGTATAGGAGCTATTGATGGTAAACATGTTGTTATTCAAGTAAGTTACTGAAAAAATTTAAAATAGATTTTTATTTTTAGAGGACTTTTATTTTTAAAATAATCACTATATTATTTTTTTCAGTGTCCTGAAAATGCAGGATCATCATATTTTAATTATAAAAACAGTCACAGTTTTGTTTTGCTTGCTGTTTGTGATGCAAACCTATTTTTACTTTTGTGGATATTGGAGCCTATGGACGTCGCAGTGATGGTGGAATATTTAGAGACTCCTTTCTTGGCCAAAAATTCAGAACCAATGAAATGAATGTACCTGATCCAAAACCATTTTATTTCGAAGGAAACTCTATGCCTTACGTGCTAGTTGGAGACGAAGCTTTTCCACTTACTGAGTATTTAATGAGGCCTTTCCCAGGAAAACAGGTTTGAATCAGGACAAAATTATTTACAATTATCGTCTTAGTCGAGCAAGGAGGACCATTGAAAATGCTTTTGGCATTTTATCAAGTCAATGGAGAATTTTAAGAAGACCAATAAATTGTTCAATTGAAACAGCAATGAAAATAGTACAAGCTATTGTGTGTCTTCATAATTATATTCGTATACAAGATATTGGAGTCAATGAATATATCACTGAAAACATGGTTGATCGAGATGGGTTGCGATGGTTTAATAGAAGGTTCCTGGAGGAGAAATATAGACATTAATTCTGCTTTTCAAGATATAAGAAGGTGTAGTACAAACAACAGTTCTCGGAAAGCTGCAAGAATTCGGGATGACTTTTGTGAATACTTTAATAGCGAGGGAGCAATACCTTGGCAATTTCAACACTGTTGATAAACAAAGGAATAAATATTTCATTTTATAACGTTTATACTGTATTTTGTATGTAATTTTAACATTTTAATAAATTTTGTATTTAACACATAAAACAAAATATAATTTCACGCTTTATTATCTCCATAATTTAAATAAAAACTAAGTTTAATTTAAAGTACAAAATTTTGTTAAGCTATTTAATATTTAAGTTAATATTTCATTAATATCTTTGGTTTCTTTTAACATTTCGTAAGACATATTTAAATATCGTTGCATCCATTCATTTGTTTTTCTGGCGATAACTTTCTTAAGTTATGACCAAACAGTTTTAAGAACGCATCTATATGGTCTTCTTGAGGGTGGTGGAAGAACAATGTCAGGAGGTGGTTGACATAAAGCGTCTGCTATACGTTCTAAGTAACTGTTTTGTGACTCTGCTCGCCTTCTCTTTCTTACATGATCTTGAAAAAAAAATAATTTAAAACCATTTTCTTCTAATTTCAAAATTTTAAAATAAACTGTGATAATTATTCAATACTTCCTAATATACTCGTATCTTGACTATCTTCATTATTAGTAACTTCTAAATATTCGCATCTTGGCAATCTAATTCATTATCATTCTCGGAATACTGTTGCTGTCCCATCGTTAATATTAGGAAATCGTACTGTA